ACCTTGTCGGTATAATTTAAATACCTTGCAAGTCAAACCTCTAAACGAAAAAAAAAAAATCTGCTTGCATAGAACGACATTTGGACGTGATGGGGATTTTTTAAATAGAAATTATTAGCTATGGCTTCCATTTCTTATAAATTACAGTTGGGAGGTGGGGGTGGGTATAGATCCACACTTCAGGTGTACGTGACATGATAGAATAGCAACTGTTAAAGAAATCTGACTGTAGAGGTGATATTTTTCAGTGGATATAAATATTAAGATAGTCGTTGCGGCATTTATTAATTTAATTCATCTGAGAGGCACAAAAAATCAATTTCTTTGCACAATAGTTGAAGTGTTGCATGCAAGAACTCAACTGAAAAGAGGAGCATACATTTGAATTATTAAGTACATCAATTAAACAAAAAAAAAATTATAAGAGGCATTCAATCATTTTTATCTTTTAATAGTGATTTAATATAAATAGTAACTGAAGGCAATTGCATACACAAGAGATATATGTGCTGGCAACAACAACAAATAATAGTTTTTGTAAAGTATTGAGATACATAAAATCACTGCAGAAACTTAAGTAAAATAATTATTTCATTTTTTTCCTTAAATATGCAAGTGACTGTTTATTACTTGAGCTTACAGGTCTATCAAGTAAAAGATTTTAGGCATTTTTTTAAGAGGGCTGGTTGGTTGTGGCGATTTTTAGAAAATATTGATCTCCTTTAGAAGAAAAGATCCATATAAAGATACATGTATACAAAAATGATCAAATTTTAAAACTAAAATATATGTATTTTTTCTCTGCCAAAAGATGGTTGACAGCTTGAGATATCATATCTTAAAAATTAAAGTTATATCTGATGGTTAATTTGTTGGCCCCAAGCCTCCTTAAAGAAGATTTCAGTGAAAATGTAAACAATTATTAATTTTTGAACACAGGAATAATACAATTTTCCATCTTATATACCTAAGTCTCAAAATGATGGCTTGTTAAAAGAAATAGATTTGAAGTTTTACATATATGATATTACCCTTTCTTTTGATTTAAACATCAAAAGTGACAAAACAAGGTTTTATTTTAATCTTGATTTTTTTTTCTTATGTATTGAATGATATTCAATACATAATGTTCATAAACATAACATGAGAGATTAATGTATTAACATAATGTAAGTCAATCAAAAAAGAAATACTCAAAAGTATTCTTGGTATTTGTGACAGATCATTAAGTCTTTTCCAAGGGTCAAAAGTGAACACAATTGGCAAGGAAATTCATAATAAAGACAATTAAAAGACAATCAATAATTATTTAGCGCTTAGTCTAATATATGGAGTGTTAATTAAAGAATAAGAAACTTGGATGAAAATTCTCTAGTAGATCTAACTGAGAAAGTTAGGGGGAAAAAATATGCAACCTATAAATTTTATTACCGATCAAAAATACCTATTTATGCTGAAAAATTAATGCAAGAATAAAAGCAAACCTCTTTTTACAGAGAAAGTTATACATTGCCCATCAAAAAAACCCTCTCATGAAAATCTCATGCTTACAAATCACACTTTAAATAATATATAGCCAAACTTTGTTATCTCGAACTCAAAAGGATCAAGGAAAAATCTCGAAATTATCAGGGAAAAACTTTAATAATAAGGAGTTGGAACCTCCAAATCATTTTGTTACTGTAAATTACATTTTCTTATTCATGAAAACTTAATTTTTGCATAATTTTGTGAGACAGTAGCTTGCAAAAATTTACATGTAATAGCATTCCTTAAGATTTTATGAAGCAAAAACCATAATTTCATAAAAATTTTGTCCACTAATAAAGAGTTGATGGCAATCCTGAAAATAAGGTGTCACAAATATTTGGTGATCTACAGTATATATCCAAGATAATCAAGATAAAACAGTGTTCAATATATCAAAGTTCAACTTTATAAACCAAATTATTAAGTAACCCTTCTGTGTGTTTAATTACATTAAACATGCTATATACATAAATATTATTATTATGCATGTAACAACATCTACAGTAGCATCTGATAATATCAAAAGGTATAACAACTCTCAAATTATAACAATAATCTGATAGTACTGAAAATAACACTGTCTTTGTGCAAGCCTTGCTTTTTCATGAAATTTTGATAAATTTTCTGCATTAAAAAACTAATATGCACTCTAGAATTTTTCAATAATCTAATAATTGGAAGATTTTTTTTTTCTCACATGAAGGAGTAGATACCTAATACAGCAAAACTCCTTATAACGAAGTCATTGCGACCTATGAAATTACATATTTGCTATATCCATAATTCTTTATAACCGTATAAGAAATTCATTAACTTTATATAGCTCGGGATCAAAGATGACTTCGCTATATCCGTAAATTCGCAATATCCGCGTTTGTACTAAACAAGTTTTGCTGTAGATTTTCACTGTTTTCCATATCAGCTAGGATATAACAAAAATTTCTATAAGAAAGTAAAATTCTTGGTCCTTTTGACTTCTACTGTAAAAGTACTTTTTTCCGCATGGAATTAATTTACACTATGTACACGGTTTCAAATTTTCTGTGAAAATTTGTCCAAGCGTACTTAATATAAATGTAAGGCATATAGTGTCAGTCTAAGAAATCCATGTATTTTTCTACCTGCGGATTAATTAGAAATTGAGATTCCGCGGAATTATGACCCCGTGGAAAAAAGTACGTCTACAGTATTTAACAGAGTTTTACTGTAACACATTTTTCGTCTAAGTAAACAATTTATTATAATAATTTTTTGCAAATCTGCAAGTGGAAGATCATTTAAAGAAATCAAGTATTTAATTCAATGTCTAGATTAGATTTCAGTATTTTTTTTAAAATGGCTTTTTGAAGATTTGGGTACAAATTCTGAGTATAAATTATTGACTGTAATTCATGCCAGTGAAGCACATATAATATACAAATCATAATTTTAAAATAATCATAATAAAATTCATTTAAAAATTATGAATTTCATTCATTCACCATGTTCACAATCCAAAAATGCAAACTTACCCAGGAAAAAAAAATTGCAGTTTCCCTCTTATTAAAAGATGACTAGCCCCTCTAGGTCAATTTTCATTGAACCCAATTCATTTACAAGCATACACTGTATGCATAAAATATTTTTTATCAATACAATCAGAATAATCATACTCCTCAACTATGTTCAGGGCAATATAACTCACTAAACTAATATGCTATATGTAAAGTGTATAATTATATAATAATATTTTGTATATATTTTGTACATATCTTTGGTGGATGTCCTGTGTACATCTAATACTTCAACATCTCAGAAATGTCCCATCACTTTAATGCTGCTTTGCTGAATGTGACCACATTCATAATGGGTTTATTAGCAGAAATACAAATGCTTAATTTCAATACAGAGAGATACATCCTTAAAAAAGACAAATATAACCTTGAATGCTATTAATTGCTTCCTTTACAGCCCTGCCCCTGAGTCATGATTTGAGTGAAAATGCCCTATTTTCACTACATTTCGGGACTCCGGGGCAGGGCTGTAAAAATTGGGCAAATTACTACTTTTTTAGGTAATTTTGGGGAAATAATCATGAAATAATTATACACTGGGTTTCTGAGTTTAATATCAACTTATTTTTTTATTTTCTGTATTGAGGAATATTGATAAGTTAAGTTATCTTATTTTTATAAGTCTTTAATTTGGAGGGGGGGCTTATGGGAAAATTAACACATTGAATGTGAGAAAAAGGTACCTTTTTTTGAAATTGTAAAAGGGGGACTCTGAAAGGCCCAAAAATGTAGACATTCAAGAGCCTTGGCAACATTTACTGGCCAGCAAGTAAAATTAGACAGTACATGTACCATAGTCTATGAACTTTGGTCATGGACTATTTCTATACCGCAACACAAAGATAATTTTCAAAAACACTCTTACACTACATGTATACTAAATGTTTTTTTCTAGCTTTTCCTATTTGGACTGGAGATGACTTTTGGCTACAAATCTATTCTACCATAAAAAAAATTATATTCAGATTAAATTATATTCAAAACTCTTGTAGCGCAGTGAAGCAGTTATAGTCCCCTTATAATTTGCATATGTCTTGTAAGTGCCAACCATAACAAGATAAACCAGAAGTCTCTGTGGAGACTGAAGCTCTACTGGTTTGTACTTATAGCAAAGGAAGAGAGAAGTTCTTAAGCAGTTGGGAATTGAAACTTTACCACAGCAATAAAAAGAATAATGATCCTTGATTAAGTCTCTTTATGTTCTTAGTGTAGTCTACTTGCATGCCACATTATATTATAATCAGACTTAAACTGTATTTGGAGTAGAATTTTGAGAGTTTTTAACAGAAATTTAAGAAAACCAAAACAGAAAACCAAAACAGTAGGAGGAGCAGCATTTTGAAAGAATTTCACAGAATTTTCTATTTTTAGTAACAACGGCAACACCGTTCATCGAAATCAAAAACCGATACACAGAATTATGTATCTTAGTGTAGTCTACCTGTGTGCCAAGTTATATTGAAATCAGACCAAAACTGTAGGAGGAGTAGCATTTTGAAAGAATTTCACAGAAATTTCTATTTTTAGTAACAATGGCAACACCGTTCATCGAAATCAAAAACCGATATACGGAATTATGTATCTTAGTGTAGTCTACTTGTGTGCCAAGTTATACTGAAATCAGACCAAAACTGTAGGAGGAGCAGCATTTTGAAAGAATTTCACAGAAATTTCTATTTTTAGTAACAACGGCAACACCGTTCATTGAAATCAAAAACCGATACACTGAATTATGTATCTTAGTGTAGTGTACTTGTGTGCCAAGTTATACTGAAATCAGACCAAAACTGTAGAAGGAGTAGCATTTTGAAAGAATTTCACAGAAATTTCTATTTTTAGTAACAACAGCAACACTGTTCATCGAAATCAAAAACCGGTATATAGAATTATGTATCTTAGTGTAATCTACTTGTGTGCCAAGTGATATCGAAATCAGACCAAAACTGTAGAAGGAGTAGCATTTTGAAAGAATTTCACAGAAATTTCTATTTTTAGTAACAATGGCAACACCGTTCATCGAAATCAAAAACCGATACACGGAATTATGTATCTTAGTGTAGTCTACTTGTGGGCCAAGTTATATTGAAATCAGACCAAAACTGTAGGAGGAGCAGCATTTTGAAAGAATTTCACAGAAATTTCTATTTTTAGTAACAACGGCAACACCGTTCATTGAAATCAAAAACCGATATACTGAATTATGTATCTTAGTGTAGTGTACTTGTGTGCCAAGTTATACTGAAATCAGACCATAACTGTAGAAGGAGTAGCATTTTGAAAGAATTTCACAGAAATTTCTATTTTTAGAAACAACAGCAACACTGTTCATCGAAATCAAAAACCGGTATATAGAATTATGTATCTTAGTGTAGTCTACTTGTGTGCCAAGTGATATCGAAATCAGACCAAAACTGTAGAAGGAGTAGCATTTTGAAAACATTTCACAGAAATTTCTATTTTTAGTAACAATGGCAACACCGTTCATCAAAATCAAAAACCGATATACAGAATTATGTATCTTAGTGTAGTCTACTTGTGTGCCAAGTTATATTGAAATCAGACCAAAACTGTAGGAGGAGTAGCATTTTGAAAGAATTTCACAGAAATTTCTATTTTTAGTAACAACGGCAACACCGTTCATCGAAATCAAAAACCGATACACAGAATTATGTATCTTAGTGTAGTGTACTTGTGGGCCAAGTTATATTGAAATCAGACCAAAACTGTAGGAGGAGTAGCATTTTGAAAAATTGTTTACAGACAGACAGACGGACGGACAGACAGACAGACGGACGGACGACGGACGCATTACTATCGCATAAGCTCTTCTGGTCTCTGACCAGTAGAGCTAAAAATGACATCATTCAGTGAAATTCTGACATCATCAAGTGAAATTGTGACATCATTTCATAAGTATGCCTGTGTTTCCTTCACTGCATTTCATTCTAAAAGTAGCAAATGTGACTTTACAACTATATTCACTGAAAGGGAGGTTTAGAGAATAATTTAATTTTTGGGACTGGCAGTATGTAGGCAAAAAAAAAAGCATACAAGGTCCTTATCTTGTGATGATTACACATATTAGACAAGACAGAACTCAAATACTTGTGAAAAAAATCACCATTATCAACCAAATTTCAAGTGCACACATATAAAATATACCTACATATATGCTTTCTAGGGCACCAATATGAACAAAAAAATGCATGCAGAGAATAACCCCTACATTACTCTAGATGGTGACTTTTCTTTCACAGCAATAGTGACTAAATTTGGAGGATGGGTACTGGTAGGAACATATTTGCTATAAATACACACAGACATAATCACTAAAAAGGCACCTGTTGTGAACGGTAGTGAGAGCTTAAAGTCAAACAAGTATATAGAAACAATGCAGGACAAAACGATGGCTGCAGAGGTAGCAAACCCTTTGAGGATGTTATCCGCATACTTCACCACAACCGCCACGAGAAGTCCGCCGAGAGACTGAAATAAAATCACCACCCACACCGCGTAATCATAACCAAAGAAAAATCCATTCTCCTGAATCTTTGGCCCGTCTTTAATCTCCATGGTGATGAGTCCTATAATCACACCCAGGCTTCCCAGCTGAACGTTCCTCAACCACAGCGACTGTTTCGTGCCCTTGAGAATTTTCTCAAAGTAAACTCCGGCGAAACCGGACATGAAACACGAAAGCATCACAGCAAATAAGCCCTTCATGGGATTTTGGTTTAAGTTCGATTTTGTGGACTTTGAATCTTGGGGTCGGAACTGGACTAATGCCACCCCCACAAATAATATCACTAGGGCACTCCACTGCTGAGGGCTGAGTTTTCTGTTCAGCATCAGGACAGAGAACAATGCAGTGGTTAAGATCTTCAGCTGATATGATACCTAATTAAAGAAAAATTGAAAAAATTATTTTTTTTAACAAATCATTAAAGAAATATAAATTATGTGATTAAGTACCATTTTAACACTTTTAACAGAATATTTCATTTTTTTTTTCATTGCTTTACATTAAGTAAAAATTAGAAGTCAATGGTCGTTTGATTTTAACTTAATGACTGTAGTTCTCTTCCAGGGTGTCAATTTCCACTGTTACCCTCCAAAACATGCACTATTTAATATATAATGGTACACTCACTTGAAATGTTGCTGCATCTAAATTGGAAAGAGCTATATATAATAAGTTATTCTGCAGAGTGTATACTATGGAGGGAACAGACACTTTCAAACAGTCCATGGGCTGTCTCCATATATTGTCTCTAAGGTAGCACAAAAAATTAGAAAGAGTCTTTTCTTGATAGGCCAAAATAGCCAGAGAGGTCAGGACCTTTAGGGCCTCTGACATCACAACGGCAGTCGTGGCATAATACATGTCCCCCTTCCTGGTGCGGGTGTACCGCATGACCAAGATGAGACAAGCATTTTGTAAAGTCAGGAGCACTAAACTGAGATGCTTTAACATTGTGTCTGTCACACACTGCGAAGAAGAATCATTGGTGTTCGCTTCTTTTTCTGAGGAATCTGCAATAAAAAGGAAGGGGAACATTAAAATACAACATAATAAGTTTCCATGATTTAAATGTGTTCTGTTCAAGAAAAATGCATGCAATGACCTCACAAACCTCAAGTTCCTTATGATTCTATGAATCAAAATACATGAAATCCAAAAATGACAGTGACCATGCAAACAACTAAAGCACAATTTAGATGTTTGTTTCTTTTTTAAATAAAGAGATCTTTTGATTTTTTTTCTTGGTTTAATAAGTAGTCAATAATGATATCAAAACACACATCCATCCCGATTACATGCAATTATTTTTTTTTTTAGCTCAAAGAGAAGCCTGAAATAACACTAGCCATTCTTTACTTACAAGGCAGATAATTCATATCTGGATTCAATATTTAGCTTTGTTCTTATCTAATTGACACAAGTCTCAAGTCATAGCTTGATTCATTTCTGTAGATTAAAAGAAGTACAGGTGCCATAATAGTACAATGTATTTCTGGGCTTGCTTTGTTAAGCTTTATAGCTGGGTTCAAGTGTTAGGTTACAACTGGAGTTACTCCAGCATCCTAGAGGTTCACGGCGAAAATATAAGGAGCGTCCTTAATTAGCTTCTCTCTGTAGGAGTACAACAAGTCTTTGAAAGACATTAGATATCACACATATATCCTTATTAGCTTCTCTTTTTTCACAAGGCTTTTTAGAACTTTTTCATCTAGTTAGAAAAATCTGATGTTTTCCTGGCTTTAATATTATTATGATTTTGATATTTTACATGGCATGTAAAATATCAAAATTGTAAAAAAGCCAGGAAAACGTCAGATTTTTCGGACTATCTTTCATCTTGCCCCCTTTGTCTTCAACTGATACCCCATACTATATTTTCTTACACCCCCAACCACCCCCTTTTCAATGCACAGTTCGAGGAATAAACCTCCACAGTCTTAGTTGTTGAAAACTTTCAGAAAATAGCCTGAATAATAATCATTTATATGACTTTAAAATTCTTAATTGAGACACTTTGTTTAAAAACATAGGATTTTTTTTTTTTCAAATGCACTTTTCACAGGTTTAAGCTCATGTTTTATGCATGAATGACAATGTACGCCTTACTTCAAGGTACATGCATTATACATACATATTTTATTTTGTAGTGCACATTTGTTTTAGGCTGCAATTAAGGCACAATGACAACCAAAGACATTTAATTATAATTTGACAGTAAAATTCTTTTTGTGATTTATGTTTTAAGATTGAGAGGGATGTGGGGGGGGGGGGGGGGAACAAGATTGAGAGAGAGTCAAAACTGTAACATAATTATAACAATAAAAGTACTATATATTAATAGAAGTACTTATTTCTTGATTTTCTAGTCTCAAAACTGTATTTTATAACAACAAAAGTTCTAAATAATAAAAGTCTTTAATCCTGGAATTTCTAGATCAGAAAGAAACAAGTTCAGGGTTCAGGTTCACAAGTACACAATTGCCTATTTTGACAGGAATCCCTAGTTTATTATACCTGTCTAATTAATTAGCAAGCATTGATTGTATCTTACCTGTACCTATATCCATGTAATCTAATAGCCAAAAGCCAGATCACCTTTGAACATGACATAAACTTTCTTTTATTACTAATAAAAATCCATCTTGGAGTATAAATTAGCACTTTTATATAGATCTACTAATTAACACAATAACAGTTATATACCTGTACTTTTACTTACAATACTCAATATTATTATTATTTCATGTTGGATTGGTCGGCATTATCCAATATTTTTTAACGATTTACTGACCTTCGGAGGAGAATTCCTTAGTCATGTTAATACTTTTCATTTCGTCTCCCACTGCCTCAATGCTACAGGTGCCGGGGAAATATTCCATTAAATTAAACACTTTGCAATTAGCAAGCAACCATGCAAACAACACAATGTGTCAAGTTTTACGACCCACTCTTCTACCATATACTAGCTGTCTCCAACGAAAGGTGCAGCAAGTTCTGCATTTCTTACTGAACTTTAATACAGAGTAATAACTAGGTTACTATTTTACATGAAAACACAAGTTACATGCACAACCTACTATAACACTAAAAGGGAGCAATGGTGGTGTCTCATCATTGAACAGGTTAATGGGATGTGAAATATAAATCGACAAATCAGTCAAAAATAAATTACATGGAGTGTGTCTAGTTTATAAACCAAACAATAAAAAAAATACAAAAAAAGAGAGAAGTTTTACAAAATTTTAAAAATTCTCACATTCTGATAAAGCTGTCTCATTGTGACAGATTAAAAAGGCTAATGCTATTTTCTATTCATTCCTTAGGCTATATAGATCATTATAGAAATATAGATCGACACTAAATAGATAAATTTCTAGTTAAAATCTCACTATAAATATATGCACAGAAATATGTACATTTACTAAGTTGATCTGGCCAAATTAAAAGACACCATCAAATTTAAGACCATCAGAACAGCTAGAGGGTGAAGAGGACAAAAGTCTCTTTTAATATTTTTTTTTTTTAAATATTAATTTATTATTCATATATTTAAAATCATGCTGCTAGATTTAGTTTATTAAATATATGAAAGAAAAAAAAAATACTTCAAGAATCTTTCAGAGTCCACCAAATTGTTAATCAATAAAAGTCTGGCTCAGATGAGGGATCCATATTAAAATAACCCCTCCTAAACCCATGCTCTCTCTCCTTCCCTGAAACCTGAGAGTCAATTATCATGAACTTCACCTTTGACCTTGAACTAAGGAAATTATTAAATGAAATACGTACAACTACATAATTAATTCTGTTTATCATGATAATATTATTTCCTCATCTTTAACATAATTACACATGTATAATAATAATATTTATAAATCAAATTGAGATGTTCAATTAATAAAATGCTAAAAGTCAAGTTCTACCATTGTCTACTACAACATTGAATCTAAATACAACAGCTACAACACAAAGAAAAACACTCTTCACTCCATAGTTATACCTTTGAATTCATCATGCATTGTAGTGCCCTGACATTATGCATATAGGAGTGCTAACAAATTTATCATGTTGGGGAGGGGGGGGGGGGGTATTATTGGGGAGGGGGATTTCATGGATTCTAAATAGTTATAATGCATAGAGGGCATACATAAATTTGCATGTGTACATAATCTATCATCAATGGACCATTCCTATTTTTTTTAAAATTACAAGTCTAAGAAATTATAGCTAAAAAAAAAATTGTTTTAAAACTCACTTGAAGTACCGGTAATGTGTTCTTCCTTCGGGTCATAAGTTTTCATATTGATCATGTTGATCATACAATCTTAAATCTTTTACCAAGACTCCCACAATTGTGTAGAAGAGATCAATAAAGTGTCCACATATGATCCTCAGTAAAGATGCTAGCAAGTTTTATTTGTCTAGTCTTTTCAAATGATAATTCTGAATATCACAAAAAATCTCCCAACTCAGATTTAACAGCTGTCACAGTGTATATATAAAATACCCTCTGGTCAATGAAACAGATGTATTTTTACGTCTAATACAGTGTAAAATCCTTGAGGAAATGTTAAATTAAAGTGGATTACACAAAATAAAACTACTATAACTATTAAGTATTAAAGTAAATACTGCAATACTTTGATATATGTAACAATTATTACACCCGAGTTACCAAATTCCTATAAACATGATAAATAAGTTGTGAATTGATGAAGATAAAAATGTAAAGGTCCAAGTCATCAGGGGCTGTAATTAAGTCAATTTAACATGGTATTTATATGCAAGTTCATTTACATTTTGTAATGTCAAACATCTATATCATATTAAGAACTTGATGAGACTGAGAAATACCTTTCAGATCGTGTAATACATGTATGATTAAGACTAAAATGCATATTAAAGAAAGAGTTAATTATCTGGACTTCCAACTCAAACATTTTCCTCAGTATTTGAAATACATGCAGTGCTCTTACAATTGCACACCACTTTTTTGGGAATGGGTCCGGGTCCGTCAAAATTGGGGAAAATAGCGAAATTTGGAGATAACCTACTTTATAGACATGATATACTGGGTTTCTAATCTTTGTTATCAACTAAATTATTGTTTTGCAATACAGAGGAATGTAAAAAACAAAATTTTATTACATTATCCTGCTATATTTTCTTTAATTTTTGGGAGAAAAGACTTATGGGGAAAAATAACACATTCACTTGGGAAAAAAGGTACCTTTTTTGAATTGCAAATGGGACCCATAAACAATCCCAATTATAGAGAATCGAGAGCCCTGACATGTATTGATGTTAAAAATACATTAAATTTTATAATATCATACATAATTTTGAACTTACATTCTTGATTAACATCATTATCGTGTGAAGTTATAGATCCTCGTTTCACAAGTTCACCCATATTGCACAAACCCTGCAGTAATCTGAATACTTTAAGCCTTACATAACAACATATTTAGCTTCCTGTACATGAGATGTAAGGAAGTGGGGGAGGTTTTATGGCAAACTCAGACAAATATTTGTCAACTGTCATTTGGTGAAAAAAGGATGGATTAATTAAAGGATTTTATATGTGTTAATAAAGAGTCTGGCAATTTTTCTGAAACAGAGACTCTAAATGTAAAGCATTCAGGTTTTTAATTCCACCTACAATGTTCCTTTTTAAGATCATTCAACCAAATGAAACTTAAGTTCATATTATTTTTAACTTATTACCAAAGCCTCAATTTATGAGCTATAGATGAATAAATATACTAAATATATATTATCTAGCTTATATCTTCACATAACATTAAATTTGTAAATGAAGTCATTTCTGTTTAATTTTCAAAGAAAAATTTACAGCTCTCCATTATTCAAAATCATTCAATTTGAAAAAGACTAGTGTAAACAACTGGACCTATCATAGATTAAAATTTTAATCGAGCTTAGCATGACAAAAATTTTCTAAGTCTTGAATTTCTATTGTTTGAAAGCTAACTAATAATAATAGTTACAGACCTCAAAAGAGTGCATGTTTGATATCATATTTATGTCATCTTCTCAATATATATTGATTGGAAACCCTGCAAATATAGACAGAATGTACTGACAACAATTCTATCTGAAAAATTCAATGTGAATGTTAAGGTTCATTACTGGAAAAAGGGGAGGCAGAAAGGAGTATATATAAATTACATATTCCTGATATAATTGTGCAGATTATTTGCTGAGGAAAGGGGAGGTAAAAAACAATATTAGGAGTGGAAGATCTGCAAAATATAAAATATATTTGATTTAACATATCTAGAGTTCCAGTTTAATATTTATGAATGTCAAATTATATTTTAAAACACCAGATATCCATAACTTTTTTGCAATTAAGTGTATTAGTCAAGAACTGTTTTTGCATGCCATGTGGAAATATCATGTATCATACAGTAAGAGTTATCTTTCCTTTTACATTGTATAATTTATCAATTTGTACGAGGATAGGGGTTGAGGCTTATGAACATAATTATGATGATGTGGCAGACAGTACAAAATCTTACAATTATTTTTTTTTTTTTAATTGTTGAAATCAATGTGTACAAAAAAAAATTAGTCCAATCACCAGAACAGTATACAAAGAAAATATATAATACATAATAATTTATCTTGGAATGAATTAATTAAGAAATATAGAAGAAAGAAAATCCTAGGAACAAATTGAACTATACACTGGATATGTTCATATAAATAAGGAAATATCAAAAAAGTAAATTATAAGTGAAACCAAATTAATCAATTATCCACTACCTATTACTTGAATATTACCTTATACTTTATAGTGTGAAATGTCTGAAAATAAAGATGATTGTATACAATCTTAATCATGTTAATATTCAGAAAATCAAAAGAATTGCAAAAAGGAAAACCGCTATCCTCTGCAGCACATCTAGTATGATAATTTGTTAGCTATAACCTGCAGGTAGATATATTTTCCTTATTGACACCCTGATAAGGTTTTAGAAGTACAAAATAAAAGGGATCCTTTTTATATCATGTATACAGTGTATGTAAGAAAATGTACTTGATTATCATATATTGCATGAATTGATTCAAACCTTTTTCAGGTCGAGACCACTAGATTTTCTGACGTCAGCATAAATTTGCATCCAAATTAGTTATCTGTTTACTTTACCTACTGCTGAATGAGCCGAAGATTGTGATTTTCTATATACTACAATGTACCCAGCTGTGTTGAAAATAAAGGGCAACTTGAATTGTCCACTAAGAAACTTATTTTCAATCTCAATTTTGAGATCTGTGAAAGAAATATTTAAAATGGTGTATAATCTTTCATTTCTATGCTCACATTTACAAAATTGCTTTATGAAGCCTTATATCAACTTAAAATACATCGGCCTAAACCATTGTTCAAAGAGACATAGGTGCTATCGTGTCGATATTTAACATTGAGTTTTTTTTTCATGTGATATACGTGTACATAGTTTTAGCAGGTAGTATATAGGTCAGCAGGAGAAAGTGTTCAATTATTATTTAACCGGCCCTCAATATTAACAGAAAGTGTTTTATGTACATGCAAACGTATAAGTGTTTGTACGGTATTTGAAGCAACTATTAATCATCTTAAACAACTCCAATATTAAATGTGAGCATGGAGCAATGTCTTTAGAATATAATCTTTCCATTTCGGTCTTATAAAAGATAAAGAAAATGTGACATTTTTTATATATATACATATTGTGCAACGTAAACCGACGAAAACCACGTGTCGCCATTGAATCGTAAACACTATATTAGGCTGTTATGCTTTGGGACTCATTCACTTGATTGACAGGTAACGGATAAATGAATAACATTTCATTGTGTTGAAAATTGTGTCCATATAAGGTAGTGGTACTCGAACCTGTTTTTATCTCTGACAAACTCAATGGGACTAATTAAAATCTTGAGATATATCTAAGAATTTGAGATATCAAGGGACTTAAAAAATAAGTGCTCAAGGACTTCTAAATCACTTTGATATATTCATGGTCTTCCTGGAAATACTTGTACATTAAGATATTACTCTCTCCTAAGGATTTCAATAGAATCAGACATTAATAATTAATTAATTATAAAAGAAGAAGGGAGATCTTGGATTCCTCCCCTAATCGGGGTGAATACCAAAATAAATTGGGGATTATATCATTAAATTATTAAATAGGCAAAAAATTTGTAATAATTCCAGTCCACGGGTCCAATTTACAAAAAAAATTTTGACCCTTGACTTTAATGTGATGTCATCCATTCATTTTGTTTTAATTTCTATTGTGTCATGTGCAAGGGGAAACACTGGCATATGTCACAATAGAATAGCAGATTGAGAGGTAAGAGTCAGAAGAATCTCGAAATTTACTCTGATTATACTTGTACAGTTGTACATTCAAATGATGTCTTTTTTTCTCTCGATCTCTCTTTAATCACATAAAGATTTATTTATTCATCTGGAAATTGAAAATCAAGTAAAGAATGAATTAAGAAGGGGGTGTGTCTTTCTAAATCTACAACATGTACCTCATCTAAATCTTTTTTATTAAACCTTTACATCATGTACATCAAGGCTTTCTATTAAGTTTTTTTTTAATCATCATTGTCTGTATTCATTGCACATTATGCAAAAATTGTCAAGAATAAAATGAAAAAAAGTAAATCTAAGTAATAATTCCACATAAACCATCAGTGAAACTCAAATTTACTTATAAAATATTTTTACCCTTGACTTTTGATATTTTTTTTTCATATGCAAGTGTTCAGCATTTTCATTCATTTTGTAGCCATATAACTTGTCTTTAAGATAAAAGTTCAAAAGTCTGCTGATAAGCCGCCAACACAAACGACCCTGCAGAGTGCAATGTCAAAGGCCCAATGCAAATGCAATAAAAGAAATCTACAAGTACAAGCGTTGACTAGGACATACAAGCATGATAAGATAAACAAAATTGTGTAATTTGTTTTCAACTGGACAAAAAAAATCAGCACTGTATATGATTAAAAACATTCATATATGCACCAGTATAACCAAAAATGCTTTCCTCTACAAAGGAAATATCAATGAACTTTAGAGGAAACAATATAAATGCTGCACATGGTGTGTGGAGAAAATCCGGGATGTTTCCAACTTACCCGCAACGGAGTTGAGTGCTTGGTTGTTAGATCCGTGAGCTTCGTGGCCGCACTCCAATAACCTCGTGCCCTTATTTATCATGCCTTACATACGCCCTTATCTTTTTGTATACCGTGTCAAATCCCGATAAGCCAAAACAACATAACCAAGCATCTCGGTTTCCTCTCACGAATTTCTACCGGAAACGAGAATGTCCATGTCGCGTTCAGTTTGTCATACACTGTGCAGAAAAGTAGGCCTAGTGAAGATCCCCTGCATGGCATTGTTCACTAGAAACGGTGCAAAAACTACCTGACCGATACCGATAAGAGGTTTGCATTTATAGTGTACAGGAGCATGTTATGTAATCTTATCAGTCTTACATGTGCATATAAAAAATCTTTAACGTTAGAAGAAGCGATACAGAATGGATACGGGATTTTATCATCCAGAAACAAAAGTTCAAAAATATTAACATCAACTACCTAAATGAGCCAAAAATTAAAATCTTGCATTATAGTTTAAAACCCAAGACATTTGAGAAAGTCTTTCATTTTTATAAATTCATTTTCATAGCCCGCCCAATAGAACGAGGAAATCAAACGCACCATTGATCGCCAGTTTACATGAGTTGACAGGGTGGCGATTTGCCGTTGGACGTTGGTCCTGCTATTTCATGAATTCTGATCAAAATGTCAGGACAAACGGAAAGAAAAACAAATGGATTTATAGATACACAGAGTCAAGGTAAAGAATAATGATAAATATCCAGGGATTCTCCAGTGATGGGTGTTTTGTTGATTTCTCAATGTGTTTCGAATTTCCTCGGTAAAATCTCTATTTACTTACACGTGTTGAGTGACTGTGTGATGTTCATGTTGAAATAGACAGGACGTGCGATTTATATTCATAGATATGTATTGAATTTACACTGTAATTGAATCAATTATTTGATTTTACTTCAAAATGAATGGATATGAGTTTGGGGTTGTAAATAAGAAATGTAGGGGGAGAGGTTGTTAATGACTTTTTAGTCAATAGTGTTTTTGTTGTGGTGGTATGTGTGGTTATCAATCTTAAAAAGACTGAAAGTGAATTTGATGATCAACACATCCTAGGGTATACACACGGTATATACAGAGTGCCGATTAGTTTCTAGATCTTAATTCACTTGATTCAATCTATACTGTTAATTTTTATTTTATCACACATTAAGACATTCAGTCCTGTGCACTCAAGGATATTTAAATGAGGTACTTATCTTATCTACCTTTAAGTGAGTGAACTCCAAGACTTACTTCAAATAGTTTTTATAATTTGCAATATTGAAAATAACCCATGAGAGAAAGAGGGAGAGAGAGATTAACTTAAAATATTCACTCACAAATTTAATTCAATGTTCATTGTTAACAGTTTTAAATCATCTCTTTTTCTATTTTCTTTCAGAAACTGCAACCTATCTAAAGTATTGCAGTTTAATGACTCTTATGCTTCAGAATGCCGTCTTCATATTAATGATGCGCTACGTACGGACACGCCCAGGTGACATGTTCATGTCCACCACTGCGGTGATCATGTCCGAATTTCTGAAATTCCTGGCTTGCTTTGTGATCCTATTTTACAAGGAAGGGGGCGTGAAAGGATTTCTTTCTAATCTGAATGAGAACATTATAAAACAACCTTTAGACTTTCTCAAGATCTCTGTTCCCTCCATTATTTACACTCTACAGAATAATCTGCTCTTTGTTGCGGTCTCCAACCTAGATGCTGCTGTTTTCCAGGTAGGTTCAACATTTTGGCAAGTGAGGCCATCATTAAAAATATTTTTGTTTGATGTACTCCAACCCACATTTTTTAAGGTGCGTATGTAGGTAGGAGGTTTTTGGTTTTTTTTGCTTTACAGAATTGGGCAAAATGATACCCGTCATATAAATCAGACTCAGAAATTTATTGATGTTTTCATTACACACTGGATAGCTGTATTGATTTGTAATTTATTGCTTTAACATTTTCAATTAAAAAGCGTCCTATAAAAATTAGAAGTACTGTGGAAACTAGTGTTGTTACGATAGTCGTCGACTATCGAAAAATCGTCGTTTAAAGGCCCAGATCGGCGACAATTGATTGTAAATATTATCATCGATAGATCGAGCTACATTTTTCAAGCCGTATTTTCCAAGCCGAGCAGGTTTAACTTTTATATTCACCAAAGGGACGTCACTCTAATCGGCGGTAAACAAAATGGCGAACGTGCATGGTGAAGAGGTTGACGCCGAATTATCCATATCCTGGTGCAACACAATCTAAAGTTTGGAGTTTTTTAGCTTTCGGAAAAAGGGCGATGCCATGCAAAAATAATTTACAGATGGACACGGTTATTTGTAAATTGTGTAAAAAGTCGTATGCCAATTGTAAGTTGAAGTTCGCGGTCACATGTCATGGAATTCTACTCCTGCTGTCAAAATTTTAATGAACATTCAAATTCTTAGGTTTAGTTTTAATTTGTTTAGGAAATACAAAAAATCTCATTTCTTAAAAATGAACATGGACATGTATGGGTGTGACTAAATTACATTGTACATGTATATGTATGCAAGTCAGAAAATGTGTATTCAATAAATGAATTTAATCAGTTTATTGAGTTTAAAATTGTTTTTATTTATGAATATTTATTAATAAAATACTTATCAGGATGAATAAATTTAACCTTTTTCAATAGTTCAAATTATCGATTATATAATCGATTGTGTTCTTCCGATTCAATTTGATAATCGATAGTAAAGAATGATTGCACTTAGTGTACAGTAAGTGGCCCCCGGTAAATTGCGCAAAAATAAAGTATAGAAAGTAGCATGATGAGATTAATGAAACAATTCTTCTAGGTCTTAATTGCAACTTTGCAAAATTACAGGAAGTAAAAGTAAGTAAGAAGAAAGTAGGAGGCTGTGTTTTGTAAGAGGGGTCACTGCATTTCATGAATTTCTATTGTTATTCAAAGCTATTCCGATCTTTAAAGCTGGAATACATGGTGAGCGCATTCTTGCCCAAATTTCTCAAAAGGACAGAAGGTGTAAAACTGTTGGAAATACAACATATTTAAAGGAGAATTTTGGGCAAGCCTGCGCTCGGGGTAAACTTTTTGAAAAAAGGTATGAAACGCCGACCGTTTTCTTCCCTATTTACGGGTATTTACATGTCCTTGACCTCATTGTGATCTGTTTAGTATTCCAATATATCACGTGATTTGTAAACTCAGGTAGCTGTGAATACAAAAAATCAATAAATCAGGTGGCTGTAGCTCCGATTGATAACATTGCATCGAAAAGCGGCCAGCTTAGTTATACCGTTACATGCATGTGCATGTACATTTTCAATTAATTAACATCGAATTTTTTTTCGGCTTAGTATTTTTTATAGAGTAATAGAATATAAAATTGGACAAAATGTAATGATATTTTATTTTAGTACTTGGATTTAGGGCGCACGTTTGGAGGGTCAAAGAATTTCAAAGAGATTAAGTCCCAATCGTCGCAATACAATTATTCCTCAAAGTGTTTTTACTGTAGTAACAAATATGTGTACTCAGAGTACAGAAGTACGTAAATAGTTTAACACTGGAATGCTTTCTGGAAACCCCCACCCCACCCCCACCCCCGAAAAAAACAACCAAAAAAAAAAAAAAAAAAAATCACACACACAATATTAATAAATTTGTTTTAGTAATAAAATATCACCACACGCAGCATCGAAACAAAAAAAAAAACTTCTGTAGACCATTATATGTACATGTACTAAGTAAAATTTACGGTACTTTTAAAAGTACGGGCAGAGAGAGAGAGAGAGTTTGATATGTAATAAATTCGATACGACATTAATCTTTTAGAAAATACAAAAGAAGTTTTTTCTTTAATGGGATTTTATTCAGTTTTAATTTAAAAACTTGTAGGCTTCCTTTATCAGTTTATTTTAAGTGTTAAATTTTCACGTAGAGACAACTAAAAATTGAGGGGAATTAATATCTAGATATAGGGAGGGAGTACATGTACATCCCCATGCAAGATCCCACAGCGTCCCCCCCCCCAAAAAAAAAAAAATGGCATGAAATTTGAGAAGTTCTTTGTGCTTACTTTTCTGTATATAACTGGCTATTATACATGTTTTCAATCGATCGATAAAATGCCCGCTTACTCCGAATATTAATGTGACACAATTAAAACCCAACTCGGACAAGCGCAACATTCCGGAATTAACATCCACTAGAGGACTTTTTTAATTACCTCAAATAAAACTAAAGCGCCGTTTTCTATGAAAATTTTTGCAAGTATAGTACCACACTGATAACAAAATATCGGTTAGGTGTAAAATTGTTAAGATTTGAGTTCATTAGATAAAGTTAGAGGGTCCGAAAAAGGGGCCACAGCACTATGCTTAAGTGGAAACATTCTTTGTCCAATTTTACAACACTAGTGGAAACTGAAAAAAAATTCAAAGTGCTGAAAAAATGATTGGGTAGGGGCAATTTTTATGGGTCGGTCGGAGTACATCAAACAAATCATTTTTTATTGTTAGCCCGATTGAAATTGACCTTATTTGGCCTTAAGCTTTTGTAAGTTTACCCATTTTTGCCAGCCAACTTAATTGATGCATGGTGTCCAGATTTAGAGAATAATTGTAAAAAATACTGGTAAGGTATTTTTGTCCATTTCCCAAGAGTTTACCTATAATGTTATGTTTTTATGATTAATACTAATAAACATAATTTAGGATGATTGGTTAATAAAATATTTATAATATTCAAATGTATATTCATGAAAGTACAAGCCTGTGTTTGTCACTCTGTATAGGTGTACAAGAAAGGTTCAATATATGTTAATCATGTTATTAGTGTATTCCCTTTTTCATCAATAAAATACTAATTTGTAATTAGAACTGATAGCATTAATTAACATGATTAATGCAGTCATTTGTCAGGCAATTCGTGATATTTGAATGTTTGAAGGATTTTTTTTTTGTCTGTTTATGCTGATAGTTTATATATACTTTATAAGTTTGAAAGCAAGTAAAATATGGCTTTTAAACACTTAAAATCAGCACTAATTAAGTCTTGTCAGAGTTTTTATCTGTTTGAAAAACTGGGAGCATTTATCATGTTTATTATATCCCATAATTAAAAAAAATGTTTTATCTTTCTAGTTTTATTACAGTAGTAGATTTGTCAGTTCAATTTGGTTAGGATTTGTATATTTTTCAAATGCAATAAGTACAGTTTTTGCTGCAAGAAATTGAATGGGACCTACCAGGTCTACAAGTTGGGGGGTGGGGTTGGGGGGGGGGGGGGATTGAATGCAACCAGTCAGGAGCACACTGCATACAGTCTTTTTCTTTGAGGGGGCATTTATAAGTCATGATATTCAGATAAGAGTTAATTGTTCCCTTATAATCATCCTCCCTGAAATGTTTGTAACTAGGACCTACATGTTAAATGTTAATAGCAAAAATCAGGATGCTATATATCCTTTGATATGTTAATATATTTTTGCATAATGTATATGTATACATGCCCTATTGCCCAATACTCCAACAATTTAAAATCTCATTCATGGGCCAACAAACAAGGCAAAAAAAGGTTTATAAGCTAGAACACAAACACATTTATAACAAAGATAATAAATATTACAGACATTCATTCTGTCAATATTTCAGACAGAATATGATAATCAGACAATAGCCAACAGCTGTTTTTATGGTGACTTCAAAGTTTTATAGTCAGATTTATCCTTAACATATTTTGCTTCATTTTTTTTTTTACCTCAGATAGGTTTGGTAATATCAACACTGAAACCTAGCCCTGGTGCCATAAAACTTAGTTGAGCCCACATTTGATCTCCGTCTCATTTTCCTCAGTCTATTTAGTTATTTTGTAAAAGTGAGACTGCATGCATGATCAGTCCAGAGATCAAAAGTGAGCTCATCTAAGTTTTATGGCTCCAGTGCCAGTATTGTGAAGAGTATTAAGTAGGTTAAAAAAAATTTCAAACAATTATTCAAAACTCTCTTCAGAAATTTATCTCACCATTTATATACAATGCCATAATCATAATAGCCATATGTTGAGTTGGACAACTTTCAGAAACAAATGTCGTCAAACTGAATAACCATGTCTGCTTTTTTTTCAGGTGACGTACCAGCTCAAGATTCTGACCACAGCTCTTTTCTCCGTCATCATGCTGGGTAAACCGCTGAGCCGCCTGCAGTGGGTCTCCCTATTCATCCTTTTCTGCGGAGTGGCCCTCGTACAAATTCAACCTACAGATTCGTCCCAAAGTAAAGTCCCAGTAAAGCAGAATCCCTTGTTAGGACTTATAGCCGTCCTGGTACAGTGTTGTCTTTCCGGCTTCGCCGGAGTTTACTTCGAAAAGATATTGAAAGGTACCAAGCAATCCATCTGGCTCCGAAATTTCGAGCTCGGAATGATTGGAACGATAATCGGATTCGTCACCATGGAGCTCAACGATGGGCAGAAAGTGTCGGAGAAAGGGTTCTTTTTTGGTTATGATTATGTCGTGTGGACCGTTATATGCCTGCAGTCCTTTGGGGGATTGGTCGTGGCGATCGTCGTTAAATATGCAGACAATATCCTAAAAGGTTTCGCAACCTCAGGTGCAATTATTATATCATGTATAGCAGCTATTTATTTTTTCAATTTTCACTTGTCGTTACAGTTTTTTGTGGGGGCCAGTCTGGTCATTATTTCAGTATTTATGTACAGCAAGTTCGTACCCCAGAAGCCTACAGTGTTTCCTCCTGTCACACAGAATGTTTGATGCTAGTGGGTCATTTAATTTTAATTGGGATCTGCAAATGTCACAAGGGTTTTCACATCATCATAGACATTAGAATACTATATGTGATAAATGTGTATCATATGAATATCTGTTTTAATTATATGTTCAATATTTTGAAATTAAGATGTATTACATGTGTTATTAGCTCACCTGAGCTGAATTACAGCTTAAGTGAACTTTTCTGATCACTGTTTGTCAGGCGTTTGTTCGTGTGACTGTTAACTTTTCATATTTTCAAATTTTTCTCAAGAACCACTGGACCAATTTTTACCCAAAATGGTACAAAGAATCTCTGGATGAAGGGAATTCTAAATGGTTGAAATAAAGAGCTAAGTCTCCTTCCAAGCAGAGATAATCAATGAGAGGCAAAAATAAGATGGGGCCTTTGAAATTCTTCTAAAAAATTACTAGACCAGGAAGGGTGAAAATTATGTGGAAGCTGCTAGCGATAGTGTTAGTTCTTAGTTGTTAAAATCATGGCATCTGCATGGGGGGGGGGGGGGGTGGGGTGGTAGGTATGGGCACAATAAGAAATCAAATTTTTACAATGAAATACAGGAACAAAATTTCATTGTAAAAATTTCATGCAGATGCCATGATTTTAACAACTAAGAATCCTTTTCTCATGGACCAGAAAACCTAGAGTGTATAGAATTATTGTAATTTCTACAGCTATGACCCTCAACGGGGTCGGGGTCTCTATAGAGATAAGGAAAAAACCTTTCAAACTACTAAAGAGCAAATCCATGTAGAATCATGTCAACCTGGAAACAATGTCTGGTAGTGTATATATCCATTTGTTCAAACCACAGCCATTGTGAAAAAGACTCAAAAATTCAGAGGAGTACATAAATCTATTTGGGGTGGGGAGGGGGGGGGGGGTCTGCTGCCACAGAACGTGAGGGTCAAAGCAACTCAGGGTGAGCATTGTAGCCCATGGGCATCTTGTTTATATTTAATACAAGTACAAGTTTTAAATTAATGCTCTGTGATTTAGAAATGTAGAATTTTAAGTGATTCTATTAATATCTCATTCATTTAGTAACCTTTTTATCAAGTAAATCTGTACAATATATTGTTTAAAAAAATGCCAAGGATGTTTATGACAGCATGACAAACTTAATGTATCTCAAAATCTGATTTTTGCTCTATCTAATATATTTCATATATTTATTTCTCAACACATCGCATGTTTTGCTCTCCACCAAGTGTTTGGTATACACATTAATTAGGTCTATATTTACACAATTATTGCTTTTTTTGTTTAAATCAGTGACTAAAGAAATATGATGTGCACTGATCATTTTATTTCGTGTTAGGTGCTAAAAGAAAATTAAGCAGAAATATCACCCACAAAGTTAAACCCATGCATGTACAGTATCAATACATCATAATTTTACATGTTCAGTAAAACACACTTATAATTCTTCATGATAAGGTGATGCTTACAGCAAAGTAATATAATTTTAACTCCCCGTGGCTTTGAAATATATTGTTAAATTAACAGATATAACATTACAAATTATGTTTAAAACAAAGCATTTTAATTGTCTGTACCGGAAACTTTGTTACATGTATAAGCATGTTTTACAGTAACTGTATTTTTTGTCACTTGAAATTGATGGAGGAATGTGTTCAAACCTAAGTTTTTAGACCACCAGTATGTAAGTAGACTGTCATTAATTTTGCATCATGCATGAGTGGATTCCTTTGCTATTACAGATATCACTTTAAATTAGAAGAAATCTGCGATTTACCATTTCATCCCCCTCCCCACCTCTCACCCCTTACATTGTCAGGGTTCTAAGTCCACTCATCTCAGTGGAACCCCTTTAAAGACTGTTATTTTTTTTTGGGGGGGGGGGGGCTTCTCTCCCACCGAGAAGCACCAACCAATTTGAGGCTTTAATAAGTTTATATAAAAAGTAAAAATGAAGCAACAATGCAAATTTTATACTGTGCGGTTGTTTGTCACCAAGCTAAGACAGCTTTAACAATCGCAGTTTGAAATTTTCTCGAAAGACATTGTTCAGCCTATAAAAGGTTCAAATTCAGTTTATCAGGAGTCCCACAGCCTTAAGTGGATATGGGACCTGATGATATGAGGATAAATTTCAACACTGACCCTTGCATAATTTTTTAAGTCACATTTTAGAAGAGATGAGCAAAAGGAACTTGATATTTTTCAATTAATTTCAAATCATTCCAATTAATTTTTTTTTTTATTTCCAATTCACCTGATTCAAATTGTCCTCATCATTAGTGCACAATCAGTTTTGCAAAATGTTTTTTTTTTCTTGGCTATGTTTTTTTTAAACTGCAAGTTTGGAATTTCAAATTGATAACTATGGCTTTCTCTATTCTGTCTAGCTTGATCTGACGTGTGTAATATATAGTAAGAAATTTCCTGCCAGAAGGTCAGCATTATAAGAATGTCAAATGGCTACTTTTAGTATTAAGTATACTGTGATCTGTAGATTCCTAAATACAGTGTATATACATGTACAAGGAATTTATTTAAGGAATGACTGTCTTATTTTTCGATTTCATGATGTGATCAATCGATTGGCTTGCGTGATAATTTGCATAACCGCCAAAGGCGTTTATGCATAAAATGATCATGCAAGCTAATCGATTGATCATCGTCATGAAGTCGAAAAATCTGACAGTTATTCCTTAGATTTACATTGTATTGATTCAGCCAATCCACGTGCTAGAAGCCCCGCTTCTTGTCTCTATTTGTCCCGCCCTGCACATGATTTTTTTAACTGCGCCTATCGAAGAACCAGTACATTGATGGAGAAATAAATTACATTTACTATCTGTAATTTTTTCTCGAACAAAGACATTGGAAATGTAAATATTTATCTTGTAATTTGGCTAAGAGACAAAAAAAAATGCCTGCTTTTATTTTTATTTTGCTGAAATACATAAAAAAAAAATATTTTTATTTAACTTCATGTACTTGTGATTTGACAATTACAGGCCAATTAATCTTGATATGTCGAAGCACTTGATTTGTATAAAATACAAATCATTCTACAGCTATTGGGTAACAAATTGACAATCTTTAAATGTACAGAATATCCTGTGGTATAATGATGCTTTACTTAATACTACATATACTTAATATCTTCTTTTAATGAATACATGAAAATATAGTTTTGCATAAAATAGAAATAGATTGTAATTATTTGTTGGTGCTATTAGTTTTCTTATATATTCCATTTAGCACCATTTAGCTTTCTTTGAATGCATACCCTGCTAAGATTTAAAGTACATGTTATTACAGTAAATGTGTACCATAGTCACTATGGTGATTTAGGAATATTTGAGAGTGGTTTCAATTACACATTATTATGTATATTAGTGGCTTTTGAGATATTTTATTAGAAAGGAAAAGTGTGTTCAAGTTTCAACTATTTTATCTGTTCGTGTTTTACATATGTAGTTCTTGAAATATGAAATGTACTGGTAAGCAAATTTAGAACAGAATACATTGTGACAGTAAAATTTAAGACGAATCAGTGCTTATGAGGAATTTAATTCAATTAATTAATTAGTGCATTTTTTACAGTTGTTTTTTGTAAAATAGAAGATTTGTTTTTCCTTAACATTTTAAAATACTTTGGTATATATATAAACCAATTTTTTGGACGATGCCTATGTTTGAAATGCACCATTAATTAAAATTTATTACAGCTGTTTATTTCAATTCATTATTGATGAATGAACTTTCAATATGATCACTTTTACATGCATGGTAAATAAAAAATTTTAATTTCAAATTAAATATATGCATTCACAAGTATGATTGAAATGTATTTCATTGTATTAAATTTTGTATAAATTGCTAAACTAGAAACATTCCAATATATAGATTTTTAGAGGCTATTACAAATGTATGTATATTGTTTTTGTATCTTAAGGGGATTTTTTGTGGTGAACTATGGAATTTTTGTTCATTTATGTCGGATAAAATAAATTAAGATAGATAAAATATAAGATAATTTTTTAAGTTGCAAGTTAAAAGCACACCGTTAATGATGTTTCATTGATTAATTTTTGTATAATTATTTTATAATACATGACTGTTATATATATTTAATATTTATATAGTACTTTCCATTGATCTGACACACTGAAAAAAATATACATGTACGTATTGCTTATCATATATCAATTTTTCTTATGGAAATCCATTTTCAATATAAAGATCTTTTTTGTGAACTATTTTACATTACAGTACTAAAAACTGAGGGCATATAATTTCAGTGAGATGTTTAAAATTCTGTTATAATGTTGCATGCATTTCCTTGTGTCTATACTTTGTTACAAGTATACATGATTGATAAACACCAAAAACACAACGAACAACCCCATCATTTTGTGATGCATAGACATAATTGTTGTCACAACAGCTGTGCAATGTCAAGAGCATTTTCCTTATTGTACTAGCATTTTCTACATAATAAAATGATGAATTCAAAAACTTACAAATATGTATATGACTACAAGTATATACATGGTATAATTCTGAATTTGCTAGAATTGATTACCAGGTAATAATTTGACCAGTGACCTCTGTTTGAAGGTCCCTCCTTTTACACTGTTATGGAAAATAAATTTTATACTGTACATTGAAATTTTACCATTGAAATATGTCTGTTATATAAAAATTGTATGAAAAATTTCCAGTGTTAAAGATGTGGGATTTTGCACTATGGATTTAGATTGTTACACTTAAAATACTGAGATATGCTTGTTAGGGGATCATGAATTAAGGATTAGAAAGAATGTGGGATAAATAAATTAGCTCAATGCTATCAATATATGTGGGGTTTTTTTCAACTTAAGCACAGTGAATACTGCCTCATAAATAAACCTGTATACCAAAGTGAACACAATTTCTTATACCAACAAGTGGACAGCTGTCAATGTGGCAGCAAACAGGGTTTTCTTTGTGTGAACAGAACTGGTATTTCTCTAGAAAATATGAACCTGGTATGAAATTTACACTTTTTACACCAAACACCTTGAACTGGCTCAGGGATAACCTGGTAAAGGTCATGACACACCCTCGATCAGGTCATTAACAATTCTGTATAAATATCAGCTTCCAATGACTTGGTTACAAAGTAACGGAGTCTTCTGTCCACCTGATCAATACGTAGGACCCATGCCAGGTGGTGTAACCGGTTCACAGGGGTTGTTTCACTCATTCTAGGCACCTGATCTTACCTCTTTAATTTCTGCTGTCTGTTCTTATGCCCTCTTTGAGATTATTGTTTAAAGATTTTTGAGTAAGGCCACTGTTCATTATTTTCACCCTTTTCATTGCAGCCAAAGATCTGCCAGTGAACTTAAACTTGCCAGAATGACCTTGGCTATTCAAAAAGACATAGCAATCTTTGTCGCAAGTTTCTAGTGGTTCTCTATTAAGCCTTAATACAAAGTTATGACCTAGGCAAGAGTTTTATGTACTTGTTCTGCCAATGTCTATGAACTTGCAGGAATGACCTCAGGACTTGTCTTATGCCCCTAGAAAAAAGCTATCCCTGTATGTACATCCAGTGATTCTTCCTTACAAAGTTATAGCCTGGATAAGAATTTTATACTCTTTCTGCCAGTGACCTTGTCAGAATGACCTAGGGTCAAGGTCAAGACCCCCCCCCCCCCACCACCTAATCATAAGCTATATTTCTATTCAGTATGAACTTACAGTGATTCTTTCAAAATCAAATATTTAACATGGTGAAATCCTGAATTTATACTTTTTCAGTGACCTTGAACTTAATGGAATGAGTTTGGATCAATGTCTTGACACACCCTCATGTCGAAAGTAATCTGTTCCAAGTATGAGCTTTCAGTATTTCTCCATAACAAGGAAAATGTCCCAGTAAGTCTGCAGGGACAGATAGACAAAGGGACATGGTTATTTATATACATGTAACCTCTTAAAGAAGTTTCGATAAGGCTGTTATTCAGCCCCTTAAGAAATATGATGAAATTGTGATATGCATGTTGTAGATAAGTACCTAATTTAACTAAAAATATCTCAAGAAGTGGGCCATTCCAATGTGCTTTTTTATGGAGCACCTCACAAGTACATGTAATACAGAGATCTTGGGTTCAAATTCCAATCCAGCACTATATTTTCTTTACGCATTCCTCTTTCCTACTTAATTTTGGTGGCCAGTGGTGGTAATGAGAGAGGGGGGAGGGAGCCTGTTCAGGTTATTTATGAATTAGTAAGTTCTGACAGGGTCAACAGAATGGTGTCTTCAAGGTAAAGGTTGTTGGATGACAGGGTAGCTCTGAGGGGTGGAGCAAATGACTAGGAAATACAGTAGTGGCCTAAATATCTTTTAAAATAAAAGCTCAGACAAAGGTTTAATTATCTTCAAATTTATTATTTTGTAATCACAATGAGATATCACAAAGATAAACAACATGAAAATGACTGGCCACATATGAAATAATGTTTGTTTCTCTAAACAACCACTGGTTTTACAGGACTGTAGACATGAGCCAATCTATCTTCACTTGCCAAATATTTCTGATCCAAAGTGTTAACATGTTAAAAATACTTAGCTGGTGATACTTGTACAATCTAAGTTGTATCTCATAACTTAAATTATGATAAGTAGAGGAAACAAACTTATGTTTAATGTTGGTCTTACAACAAACATGGAAAGACTTGGCGAATGCTACATGTATAGATCATGGGTGTTAATCATTGAATATATTCCTAGAATAATGGGCTATTATTAAAGTGGATTTGTTATTTTAATTGCAATTTTTTGTGGATAATGAATCAAATCAGAAATGCAAAAAATCATAATTTAAAAAAAAATCATTTCATTGTATTTGTGTTTCAAAATCAACTACAGTTAGCTACTTAAGCACCACAAATATGTAATTAGCACTGACAGCTACACTATAAAAGCATATTTTGTGTTGGGTATTATAGATAGAATTACTAAATCTGTGTAAATTTTCAAAGTTCATTTTTACAAGTACTAGTACATAAACTGATGAAACAAACAATTCATCGAAGAATGTTTTCAAGCAGAATTTATGGTTGTTATTTTCAGAATTTTCAAAATATTTTTTATTAAAAATGAGAATGCTTAATAAGCTTGAGTTAGTATTTGTATTTCTTCTGAAGCATGAGGTACATTTACAATGGTATGCATTTGTTTAACAATAACTCGATAAATAATTCATCAATCAAGAATACAGTGTATTTAAAGGAAATATATATCTGACTCCTTAACCCTAAAGCAGTTTATTCATTTTCGTTTTTTTTAAAGGTATTACAAAACATGAAATTTTATACAGATCTACATTAATAATGAGTACAGATCATTCAATATGTATTTTTTTTAAAGGGGGACAACTTTTCATGTTACAACATGTATTGATGAATATTTCTTTAAATTTGTAAAATAAATTCAGCATCATGGAGAGTATACAGGCATTAGGATTCTTTGTGATTACAGAGCTCTGCTGCATTTCTTTTCACTTTCTCAACCATGCAACATAAAATAAAATTACTTTGTACAAAAAGAACAAAATTTATGTAACAGTAAATGCCCTGATATATAAAAAATAATGTAATTTTTTTTACACAAATTAAAAATTTTCCAGTAAATTTATCTTGTAAAAATGTGGAATTGTCAACAATATATTAATTATTTCTATAAACAAACAAAACATCCATGTTTATCTGATCATACATTTAATTACACTTGATGATAACCAGTAACTCTCCAAGGTCTAGCTTTTACTATGTGGTCTTGTATTGGGCAAAACTCCTCCGACCTTGATAAATGCCCTTGACAGCTGTTTTCTTAGGAATTGTCTTTAGAGGGCTGGTTTTCCCCGCAATGGAGTGCCGACTTTTTGGAATTTCTACAAGAAAAGGAAAAAATTGTCATTGACAAATGAATGCCATTTTACGACAGACTATTTTAAAATTTTCTTTACCAAGTGTTTACATGTATGTGTGAGAAAGAAACAATTTATTAAATACCAATCAATTAATGTTTCTTTCAATTTCAGAAAAACTGTTATATCGTATAAACCCAGCAAACCATCTAAGAAAATTCTTTTTATATGAAATATATTTAATCTGCTGAAGCATGCATGCTCCTAGAAAGCACTAATCAGCATAAAACTATATACATTGTACCGTTATACGGTAACTAAATACATGTAATATGTAAAAGTACTGTAAATGTATTATATTTGGCGTGTGCGATATTTGTTGGAAATCGATTTTTGAACAGGTTAGCGTAGATTTGAATTAGAGCATTTTTTAGTGTTCTTTATATTATTCATGAATATAGCGTTGTACTTGATTTAGCAGAAGTTTATTTTCGCAAAAGGCACTAAAAAGAATACACAGCCAAATGTTATCATTATAACAGTATATTATGGGACATTTTCCATCACCAAATACACATTATCTATTTTATACACCTAAAGCCACTGGATGCGTAATTGCGTAATTCATTTACAGATATATGATCTTTGTAATATACTCATTTTTCAATCAAAATATATATACATGTAGTCATGTATACACTAAATTTTAATTGTATATACATGTATACAGTTAGTAGGGCATATTAAAAAGCAAATTTGTGTAAAAACAAACCTCTTCTTGATTTTTGATCTGTGCTTTTCTGATGAATCAAAATTAGTACATGTATAGAAATACACATTTAAGTAAATGATTTAGACCTTAAAGATTTAATAAGCCTATGTAACTAAAAAATCTTTGCAAGAACTTTTACACACTGAAACTTTTCTCTGAATGAATTTACATATCAAATGATTAGTTCAGTCATAATTCTATAATTTTAAAATAGAACTGTGTCTGGGTGAATTCAAAACAAGGCAAAATTGTTTTCAGGTCTGAAAGCATGGAAAGGGCAAAAATACGACAGGGTGAAAATAACACTGTAAACAATAGTTCTTATGTGTAAGGATTCTCCTGCAAAATGGAAATTTCCAGAAATTTATAATACAGTGACACAGTTTTGGGAAGTCCTGTGTTTGATCTTACCAGACTACGGCTGACCAGGGGGGACTCAGATAAACTCATTCTCTGGGAGGAGGTACTGCTGGACTTGATCAAAGGACTGAAAAGCATGCAAAAGCTGATGTAAATAACTCATCAACAAGAAGGAAAAAAAACACAAAAATAAAACAACATTACAATTTCAAAAATTGTCATTCTTTCAAAAATTTGTTCTTTTTCAAAAATTAGACTTCACAGTTTCATGTAATGCTATAAGTCTGACAATCAGTATTTTTTTTTTTTTGCATTTTCAAATTAACAAAAGCAATTTTACTTCCATTATTGTGTTTTATGTAGTAGTAGTAGTTCAAGAAATTAAATTGGAAAATTTTCTGAATGCATAAAAATAGGATACATATTAGAGTTTTGCATCAACTAAAATTAAATATCACAATTTCCTCCAGCTGAAACACAGTGTCAATTACTGGTAAATTTGGATTGTTACACAGAATGATAAATCTACCTAAAAATATTTTTTGTCTGAAAATTACACTGTAAATTTCATCCTTGAGAAGATTTATAATGCAGACCTTGGTTGAGGTATAGCACTGGTTGACTCACTACGAACTTTCTGAGGCGTCGGCAGAAAAGATTTCCGGCGAATGGAGGCAGGGGTACAAGAACTAACGGAACTGAAACAGAACAAACCAAACATACAAAACAGAATAACAAGAACTCACAGAATTAAAATGGAACAAACAAAGCATACAAAACAGATAACGATAATAAATAAAAGCAGATTAAAAAAAATTGTATCAATGGGCTACTCCATGCAAGAAAGCAGAGTTACAAATTGTATTTATTTACTGAAAGTGCTCTAAGTTATGTAAGATTCAAAAAACCAATGTACTGATTTTTCTAAGGTATTTTCTCAAGGTTAGTAAAAAAAAGTTAAACATAAATCTTGGGAAATGATTTTTGGGCCATGCAGTGACTAACTATGAAATCTCTTCCCTTACTGCTTTTGATGGAGTAGCCATTAACAATAAGAAATCAACACAAGACAATCAAGCCCTTACTTTGATCTGACTGGTGTAGTGAAGTTGTTAGACAGAAGTTTAGGCTGGACTCTCTTCTCCGGCTTCACTGGTGTACACACTGCTGGGTCTAACAGCATCTGTCTGGACAAGGCTGGCTTGACTGCAGAATACATTGGCAAAGTAAAACTAATATACAGTTTTAAAGTATATAATTAAATATATCTTCAAATAAAGTTCACAAAAAATTCAAAAGTATGAAATTTGTTCACATCAATTACTGAAGTTCAATTCTGTAAACATATTAATTTGGCTAGGTCAAACCCTAAATCATTAAATTCATAAACATAGAAATCAGGTACATGTATATTTCAAAAAAGCAACCTATGCTTTCTTTCAAAAAATGACATATACTGTTATAATACTTTTTTATACCTTTTTCTTCTACTTTGTCTGGAATATTTGAAGTGTTAGGAAGAGCCTTAAGTGGACCCGTTTTATTCTTAGTCTCTGTAACCTGTGATTTCAATGCTGGTTTCTGGATGCCTCCGGGTTTCATCAACGATAACCTGGTTGTCGGCCCCTTTTTGATTGTCCCATCCACATCCTTTCTGTTCTCTTTAGTGTTTGAAACGCTTGATGATGCTGCACTGCTTGGAATCCCTGAAGTGTTTAATCCTAAAGACTTTCTGCTGCTGGGATTCAAGCTCCTGCGGGATTTAGATGGAGGGACAATTTCTGATTTTTCCATTGAAGCACTGGCTGTTTTTGTGGCAGAGTTAATGCTTGTTGACAAGTTTTCGTTTGATTTACTGGCAGCACCAGGGGGTTTGAGCATCGAAGGTCTCTTCAGATTGGATTGTTTTGTGGAAGTCTTAAATAAAGATACAAGGATGTGTTAAAGTATGTCATAATTATGCCTGGCATTTAGAATGTCATTCAAAAAAGTCCTGCATAAACATTATACCTTTATACCCCAAGAGATTTAATCCCTTAAAAAACACTTTACAGCACATTTACATTTTCAACCATTTGTAGTATCTATTCATCAACGTACCAATCTTTCATGATCTACTTAAACCTTGGTAGCTTAGAATAAAAAAAAAGATAAACAAAACTCGAACTTCAATTATCTTTAACTGTTGTTATTCCTGACAAATACATGTATGTATGTGTAATATAAATAATTGCTCTACCCTAAGAATTGTTGAAGATTAAACAAAATTTTTCACATGTTGCTTACTAGAAAAAGAATCTCTTATTATATACGTTAGTTGTAATATTTTTTTTTAACAAACCTTAGTTTTTGGTATACTACATTTGTTGACAGGAAGCTTGGACACTGAGGTCTCACTGGTGTCTGACGTGACACTACACGTGTCATCTGTATCACTGGCAGGTCCATCATAATATCTGGAACTTCCACTCTGTGTGTGAAAGTAAATTTTTAAAAAGCAATGCTGCTGTTATTTAGTTTTTCTGGTCAGAGTGACAAAATTTTATGTCATTCAGTTGTTATAAATGTTACGAAGAGATTTATGAGAAAAGAGGAAAAAGAAGATAAAGTGAGCCAAATGTTAAAACTAATGTTAAGCAACTCATGCAAGACCTATCTGTATACTGACAAGACATTTCCCTAGCTTATATGGGCAATTAAGACAAGAATTATTTGCTACAAAATTACATTATTGTTAAAAAATGAATTTTAATAAAAAATATGGCATTAACCTTCTTTCCATTCTTTGAGCAAGACAGCTTTGACTCGGACAATTTCTTGTTTCTATAAAGAGCATTCTCCACTTTCAAATTCTCCTTGTCCTCTTCAATTTTCTTCTGGAAAGGATCCTCAATTTCCACGTCAATCACAGGCATGGCTTTAACAACACTCTCCGGAAGTCGAAATATTGCCTCGGGGCTCTCGGTGAAAGTGCCTTTCCTCTGATGCCTGACTGGGGTATGCATCCCTCCATTTTGGACTCCTGACTTAGATTTACCTTTTCTTTCCTCCTCATCCGGCTTTTCCTTGTTAATTCTGTAAACCACCAGCTGTGCTTCCTTGTATATTTCCGCTATCTGGTGGGGTTTGAGGGGACTGAAGGGTTTCAGGGGCTCCTCAAGGGGTGCTATTTCTGATACGACAGTGGCCACACATTTCTCTGTGAATCCCACGGGCCCCAGGAATACTTCTTCATCATCGTCTTCAACAGGTCCTGGTGAGGCTATGCTCCTTAATTTAGAAAAATATGAAAATAACCCAATTTGAATTACCTTAATTTAAAAATATACGAAAATAACCATGATTACAGAATCTAAATTACATGAGTTTCATTTAAATTTACCAGAAAAAAAAATGTTGGTAAACAATATACTCAGGGTTCTCCACATTTGAAAATTTAACCATGGAGGAAGCTACACGAAGTCGAAATGTGGCCGAAAACACAAATGCGTGCAGCGTGTTTGACATCCTAATCTTCATTAATCAATGATTGGTTTTACAATTTTTAAACTTACACACTGCAACACAAAACAATACAAACACTTTTTAAAGTAAAAAAAAATAAATTGAAAAGGATTTTTTTGTATCTTACTTCACAATTGTACCAAAATTTGCCAAAAACTGTAGTAACTTTCTGAAGGAATTTAAAGCAAAAATGTTGATACAGGTAGCCAGTAACCATGGCATTAGATTAATAATTAAAAGAATTGTAGCCCGTTGTATGAAATGTTTGTTTTAATATGACTAAAACTGATGAATGTGTAATGGTTTTTTTTATAAGTTAACACACAAAAGAACATTTGGACCAGTGTCCTTTTTTTCTAAATGTTCTATTTTTCTAGATATTGCATTAATCACCCAGTTTTGTTTACTTCTCCACGTGCCCAGAGCTAAATATAGCACCATGCGACGTTTCATAACAAGGGAAGTAACTCTAAAACTAAGACGGCGATTGAGACATAGGTCATATGCACATTTTATCAAAAAGATAAAGTTAAAGCTTAAAAACAGAGCATGGGAAATTGATTAAATACAGAGGAATATGAATTTTTTACAGAGTTTTTTTTCTGGCACAGAAACCTGAATCGCAAGCATGACGATTATTGTGCTCGTAATACCGTACCGGTATTGTAATCTTTTATAAACCCGTTATAAACCCGTTATTTATCTAATCATGTAGTAAACATGTTGAATTTTCCCAAAATTATTTACATGTATACATGATAATTAACTCTCAATAAATTGATCATCTGATTGACTCTCCATTGATTGTCACGCTTCACAGCATAGTCGCTGATTAACGACGTGTTTGTTTAGCACAGTCCGCTTTCCTTCGAGGCATGCCAGGTGCAGGGCAGTCGTAGTATAAACACAATTAACTACTCAAGTCATTAAAAAAGTAGGTGTCAGGACTGAAATGCAATAAAATTTAATCATGGCGGATGCCGATTTTAACCATGGCGCAGCTCGTTTAACCATGGCGCACATAAATTTAACCATGGCGGGCCGCCATGGTAAAACCCCTTCAGGAGAACCCTGATACTGCAGCAACATTATCTTTTATAAATTTAAGTATGAATTAATTCGCATTTACAGCACAGAGATAATCTAAAAGACTTTCAAATAAAATTTCAATCTTTACCTACCTTACACCTGGAGAGAAAGGAAGGTCAAAGTCAAACTTTTCATTCTCTAGCAGCTGAAATTCTAGAGATAAAATAGAATGTGCAAATAATAGAATGCTAAAGGATACTTGAAGAGTAAATACCTCTATCAACTTTTCTTGTCACAATTTATTTTCCATCCCCAATCCCCATAAATTTATCTATAAAATTAATGTAACATTTCAATTGACTTTTTGCTTGTATTCAACTTTAAAAAATTAAATCAAAAAAATTATGAAGATTAACATGGTCAAACCTTGTTATGTCATACTCAATTAATCTGAGGAGAAAAGGCTGTGAGAAATATCTGAGAATTCAAGATATTAAAGTTAAAATTTAGAGAGAACAAAAAATATGGTTGGAACTTCCAACTTCAGAATATTCATGGTAGTGGAGATAGTGGTGTTTGAGATACTTGTAAGTTAAAAGTCATAATGTATTAAAACAACTGATACATTGATTAGGAGTGTTCTTGCACAAAACAGTTCACTGCAGTATCAATTCACCGCAGTATTTTTTTCTCAGTTTGATACATGGTACAAAATCTCTTTTTTCGGTTTGGTTGGGATCGTCATTCAGTCGGGTTTGGCATAATGTATAAACATGTTACTCAGTAATTAATACAAAACTGTAAATTTTTATGGACTGATAGTTTGTAAAATAATTTTTAACAGTCAAATCAATTAAATTGATTTCTTCTTGACATTTTACTTGTAAATTATATGACGAGATTGAGTAAAAGGAAGCATAAAACAACGGTTGAATTTGTTTCCATCAAATAAAATGAATCGTATAGAAAATAACCGTACCAAGACAAAATTTTACGATACGTATCGAACCGTGAAATAGGCGTATCATTTCACCCCTAACATTGATGATGTGTATGTATACCTGGGGTTACATGTTTGGCTTGAGCAGTACTACAGTCTCTGATCTCTGATGTGATGTCATCCAGATCCAGCAGTAGATTCCCTCTGTCAATGGTATAGCTCCCTCTCCTGTCAGCACTTCTCTCTATCTCTATAGAGTCTGAAAAATTTAATGTTTAGCACTATCTAAATGACAATGATGAAAAGAAAGATGTGTGAAATTTCTGTCACAAAACACACAACAGATATTTTCAAGAGGGAAAATAAAATGAATACGGATTTTAGGTTTTTCGTTTTGTTTTCTTGAGAGGAGTGCACTAGTTTTGACTTTATGAGTTGTATTCAGAATTCTAAATATCACAGATAAGGGACATAATTAGCAAATATAAATACCTATTGCCTTTCACATGGAAACAAAGAAAATACATTTTTCCATATTAGTTTAGATTTTCAGACCTAAACATGCTAAATGCTTGGACCTTCCAAATTCCAGTAAGTCTCACAAAATATAAATTCCTGTCCTAAATTAGTAAATAGGGAAAACCTCCCTCACTTTGAATCAATCAAGCAAAAAATTTCTTCATTCTGCGTGATAATTTAAGTAGCAAATGTTTCTTAGCCTTAAATAGAAGATTAGCCCTGTCAAAATTCTCACCAACTAATGAGTTGTGACTGTCTTCTGACTTTCTCTCAGTCGTTTCTAGTTTAGTTTCTGGTAGGGAGGGGCTCTTACTCTGGGGTGGTTTGGGTGGGCTGTTTTCTATGGGTTCACTCAGGTCAATTAAAATTCCACAAGCTAAAAAACAACATAATGATAAATAATAATAATAAAAAAAAAACAACCTAGCATTTTTTTGAATAGAGACTCATTTGATCATGGATTTCAGATAACTTATCAATATATATATATTACACTTCATCATATATACATCATGTATATATCCCCAATTAATTAAATGTATACCTCTTTATACAAGAAAGATGTCACCTGCTGTAATTATACAGTGTTGTATGAAATTAATATTTTATTAATAAACTTTTTTTTGAAAATCAAGAGTAATGTTTTCGATATTACCATTAATCTGTAATAATATGAATTTAGACAAGCTAATTCAGAGAATTCGTGTCCCCCGCTTAGGGAAAAAGTCGGATCCCCCTGACTTAATTTGTAGAATTATTAAATGTACACATATATACTGAATCAAATAAAATACATGTATGTCAATATGCGTATAAAGATTTGATTGCTTATTCTTTATTATGTGTATAGAAGATTCTTTTGATATGGAATATCTATCACACTGTAATGAGTATTTTATAACCTCATAAATTATTCTTTTCACATGCTGAATACTATCATTTAAAAAAAAAGAAAAGTTAAAAAAAAAAAAAAAACTAATTCAGAGAATTCGTGTCCCCCGCTTAGTTTTGTAGAATTATTAAATGTATACTGAAGGAAATAAAATACATGTATGTCAATATTCATACAAAGATTTGATTGCTTATTCTTTATTATGTGTATAGATTTTTTTATATGGAATATTTATCACACTGTAATGATGATTTTATAACCTCATAAATTTTTCATTTCACATGCTCAATACTATCATTTAGTAAAAAAAAAAAAAAGTTTTTTAAAAAAAAAAAAAAAAAAAAAAAAAAAAAAAGTTCGACCGAGATTCGATCCCGCGACCTCTCACATTTGAAGCGAGAGACATAACCACTAGACCACGGAGTCGATTTGTGCAGAGAGAAGTATATGCAGAACTGAAGTCACATACATGTATATATTCATGTTTTCATGTTCGGTTTTCTCAAAATTTTACACAATCCATGGTGTTTGATTTATTTAGCCTTTATTAAACAGTTCTAATAGATGTAGTAAGAACATAAAGTCCGCCGAGAACCTGTTTTATACGCAATAACTCTCCTCATGCCCCTGCGCTAAAAATAGCGCCATGTAATACTATAAATACTAATAAAACAAACGGGGCGGGGCACTTTGAGAGGGGCGAGAGACGTCCTAAGTTTTGGTATAAAATTACATTGCATAAGCTCAAAATCTTCTTGAAATATCGCCTGGAAATGATAGTATTACATACAGACAGAATGTATAAATTTACGACCTTGAACTTTGACCTTTTGAAAAATCGATAGGGGTCTTCATTAGGCCACAGGGAGTTGTTATATAAAATTTCATTGCAATAGCTCAAATGGTTCTAGAGATATCGTGTGGAAACAAAAGTGTTTTAACAGACAGAATTTGCTTATTTATGACATTGACCTTTGACCTTTTGACCTCAAAATCAGTAGGGGTCTTCTTTAGTCCATAGGGAGTTGCTATGCTAAATTTCATTGCAAAAGCTCAAAGGGTTCTTGAGATATCGTGTGGAAACGAAAGCGTTACAGACAATAATATACTTTTCAAGCGGGGGACAAAAAAAGAAGAGGAATCGCCCAAGACTCGATCCCGGGACCTCTCACATGTGAAGCGAGAGACATACCACTAGACCACGGAATGGCTATAAATGAACGCAAGTATATGCGGAAGTCAAGTCGTATACATGTATATAGTAATGTTCGGTTTTCTCAAAATTTTACACAATCCATGGTGTTTGATTTATTTAGCCTTTATTAAACAGTTGTAATAGATGTAATAAGAACATAAAGTCCGCCGAGAACCTGTTTTATACGCAATAACTCTCCGCATGCCCCTGTGCTAAAAATAGTGACACGTAATACTATAAATATTAATAAAACAAACGGGGCGGGGCACTTTGAGAGGGGTGAGAGAGGTCCTAGGGAGTTTTAGTATAAAATTACATTGCATAAGCTCAAAATCTTCTTTAAATATCGCCCGGAAATGATAGTGTTACACACAGACAGAATGTATAGATTTACGACCTTGAACTTTGACCTTTTGATCTCAAAATCAATAGGGGTCTTCCTTAGGCCACAGTTGTTATGTAAAATTTCATTGCAATAGCTCAAATGGTTCTAGAGATATCGTGTGGAAACGAAAGTGTTATAACAGACAGAATTTGCTTATTTATGACCTTGACGTTTGACCTTTTGACCTCAAAATCAATAGGGGTCTTCCTTAGGCCACAGGGAGTTGCTATGCTAAATTTCATTGCAAAAGCTCAAAGGGTTCTCGAGATATCGTGTGGAAACGAAAGCGTTACAGACAGACAGAAAGACGGACGGACAGACGGACGGACGGACAAACCCAAATTAATATCCCCCACTTTTCAAGCGGGGGACAAAAAGTACTGTAACAGTTCTAGAAATTCAAGAGACATGCAACTAAGAAACAACGTATTAAATGAATAAGTCGAAATTTACCTTCCATAACTTGTTGAGTGTATCCAGATAGTTGTTGTAAAACACATCAACTTGCAAAACACTTCAACAGCAATGGAAAAATCTTTGCTTCAAATGCACTTCACAAACTATGGAGGAAATAACATGTGACATATCATTAAGTAATGGGGTGCATATGAGTGATATGGTCCAGAGTTTTTCATTAATTAGTTTAAAACTTAAAAGAAAGAGGAAATTCCTAAAAATTCTAAAGAATTCCTAAAGAAAAAAAAATACTGAATACCACTATTAAATATTATGTACATTTGTCCTTGCAGATGAACTCAGAGAATTATGAACATGGCTGCAACTTCTTAATTTCTCCAGAGCAATTATCTCTCTCGCCATTACAAAAACTGGAAATTTTACTGTCTCAAACCAGAGTCATTTTTAATGCTTGCAAACCAAACTAAATGCTGAAATCAGAATTCATTAAAAGCACAATGCCTCTAGCACTTGCCAATATCGATGAAAAGAAAATATCACTCCACCATGTGTCCACATTTCGTTACCATGGTTTCAGGACTAGCAAAATTTTAAAATGCAGGAAATGAAAACAAATCTTGACAGTGCAATAAAATCTTTTCAATGAATTGTATAGTTTATATATGAACCATAAAAACTATATTGGTAAGTACTTTAACATGTTTAAGCATTGTACTTTTGATAACTTGTGACCTTGAAATTTTTAAGTTGGTTTGCAAGTATCTAAAATTAACTTGATAATGCCACCTCCAGTTGGAGGCAGTGATATGTCCCAGTTTCCATAATGGCACCGGTTCTGACATTTTCCTGGCATGTAAAATATCAAAAATTGTTTTTAAAAAAGTCTGAATAATGTCTGATAATTCAGACTTGTGATCGTGGCGATTTATATCACCCAATTGCAACAGAAAAACTATTATAATACTAAGGATAAAGTTGTGCATGCAAAATGACTCCTCACAAATTTCCACATATAAAAGGGGATGTCATAACCTGATCAATAATTAAACATAAACCAACTTTATACACTCAAGGTTCATGCTGCATGCTGTGAGTCTTTTTTGCATGTACAGATGGATATATATTTCCATACAATTTAACAAGTTCAACCCATTTATTTCCAGTATTTTTAGCCAAATCAAAAGCTTTTTAGTGGAAGAATCTCTTCTGGCTTTTTATATCCCTACTGGCCTAGCATTAAATAAGATTAACAAATGATTAAGGTGTACAGGTGTGTAATCATGGTAATGGGCGATCCTTATTTCTGACTTTAAAACTCTGAACTAAAAACTCAAAGATTATTATCTGAATAAATAATATCAATCCTTTAAATAAACCTTTTGAAATATATTTAAAATATGCATTATTTAGACTTACAAATTAAGATTATTATTTATTTTGTTCGAATTTCCCACGTCGCATGGATGTCTTTTCAAATGTTGGCAGATATGTAACGAGCATTTCCATTGGTTAATTCAAGACACATTTTACGACAATCATTTCTATTATTTGTATATTTTATTTTCAAAGCTGAATAAATAGGGACCTAGTTTACTAAATAAATACATTTAAAAAATATGTTTTTTTTATTTATATATCTTTAAGTTTGATAGGTAGACAGCCTAAACATGCTGAATGTCGTGAATTCGCAAACCGGTCTGACAACAAAAATGGCGATCGAGATAGAAGAACCAACTTTGTTCGAAAACATTCTGCATTATGGCTTATTTGTTGGAGCGATTTTCCAAATAATTTGTATTCTGGCTGTTATTATTTTACCAAAGAGCGAATCTGAAATGGTAAATTCAACAAGCAGTTAAAAGTTTTCAAAGATCTACAAATATTTTCACAAACACTTGGCTCTTAACAGGTCCAGTACAATCTCTTCATTTAGCTATATAGCTTTAAATAGCTATATAGCTTTATTAAGCTATTGAAAATAGCTTTATTAGGCTATTTATATACAGTTTTTTACAAATTTAAAATGTTTTTTGCTGAAAATAAACAAAAAGCCGCATGAATTTGACTCTTCATACATGTACTAATACTAGTCTACTATGGACTATTAAAACAACAACCAAAATCAAAGATAGTTCTAACTCTGCAGCTTTTGAATACTTTGAAGCAAAAAGTGAATTTCTATTAGACTAACTGTCCACTACCTTGGGTGCCTTGAGGCAAGGAAAAGTATGATTGCTTCTCATTGTGCTGAACTGTTACCAATCAATTATCTTGTTGAACATAATTGGTCTCCATTAATATGTTTTACGGTGTGACTGTTGGGGCGAGCGCAGTTATGTACTATCATAAACCTACACAAGTACTGCCTGATCATTCAAGAAAAAGAAAAAAAAACAAAACAAAACAATAAAAAGAAATCACTTCCCAAGTATCGGGATCGAGATTCCGAACTTCTCGGAAGTTTCCCACAAAATCGGAAATACCCAAACCATTGAAGTGACGAAAGTATGACGTCAGATAAAAAGTCCTGTTGACTTAGGACGCAAACGTTAGTTTTGTGGCATGGAGATTGCATTAAATCATTGTTTGTAATTTTTTTCAAGTAAGTTGTTGCTATGATTTAGCCACCATGTTGCTATGCACCGCAAAGGATTATTGGGAGTTTGGAATTTTTTCACGTGGACTCATAAAAATTTCTTGGAACAATGTGCAGATTTCACCCCGAATTTCCTCTGTTCGTACACGTGAGTCTATTGCGCTCGCTACGCGAGTGGCGCTTTGCGCCACCTCGCTGCGCTCGCTATAATATCATTGCAGAAGTAACTGTATCAATTGCTTTATATAGCCCCAAAACTTGTAGAACTTTGAGTACAAAGTCTCTCAAGGAGACGTAATTTGATGAGTGATTTTTACATGCATTATTTTAAGAAGAGTTCAAAGTTGTATATCATCACTGCACCAAGGTGCGCTTTTTTGTACATACTGAGAAAATTACACCTTGAAGAAAAAAGTGTAGTAAAATAGCTAAATTAAGCTATACTGAATAGCTTAATAAAGCTAGTATATAGCTATTTAAAGCTATAGAAATAAATCAAGAGATTGTACTGGACCTGCTTAATTTGACTTTTGTGTTCCACTACAAGTAGTATAGGGATTAGGAAGTGTTTCGTATACAAGTACACGTAACAAGTGTCAGTGCATGAAGTGCATATTGTATCAGATATTCACAAAATTATTAAAATCGGAAAAAGGAATTTATATTATACCTGAAATTCTACAACCACCCCAAGCTCTGACAGAATAGTATATTGAAATTTTCGAAGAAGAAAAGTCAAGACTTTTGAAGTCATACTTTAAATGCATCAATTAAATCTCTAAAATTTCTCTTTGTGAACTTTTTGATAGAGAAAGGCAACGTGATAATGAACAATTATTATGCTCCTCCTCCTTTGAGCTAAGATACATGTAATTGTTTTTGTACTGTACTTTTAATTTGATTCCTATTAGTCTTTAAAAAATTAACTAGTTTTTGTACTGTACTTTATAACTGGTGAAAAAGTTTGATATGTGTCCAAAAAATAAAATAGGAGGTGCACAATGGCAATATGTCTTTTTCAAAAAATTAAAAGGAAAAAAACAGACGGACGGACGGACGGACGGAATTAACAATTACTATATACCCTCCCGCTTTTCAAGCGGGGGGTATAAAAAAAAAAATTATATATATTCTCAGTTTAAGATTGGCACATATATAGTTATTGTTTAATAAAACCTTTGAGTAATTGTTGAAATTGTAATTGTTCTTGATTGGCTTCATCCAAAATATTTGATTAATTGTAATTAAAAAAATAATGGATTCTTATCCCTTGCCACTGATTAAAAAATTAATATTGATTGAAATGTGCTTTTTTAACATATGACTATAGATTCGACTGTTTGACTTTCAAATAAGACTAGCGTTTATACACTGTTTTACCCTACCATCACCTTTTGTACTAGATAATGTACTATTTTTGTTTCTTTGATTAGGACACTGAGGAGGAATCAAAGCAGGCCACTCAGTCTGGAACCCCAAGTCTACACAACAGACCAAAACCAAAGAAAGAGAAGAAAAAGAATCGATAGACCAGTTACAGATGGGATCACAGTATGTCTCTTAAAATTTACTGCATTACATGTGTTCTTTAGTCCATTTAGGGATTTTCTTTCCTTTTTTTTGCATAAAAGAAAAGATTTTTTTTTTTTTGCTAGTCTAAAAGGAAATGAAAAAATTCTTGTATTGAAAGAAATATCTAATAATGGAGAGGAGAATTCAAAATGAAATTCAAGCAAATGATGCCAAATTTTATTTTTAAAAATGGTTGATGATATTCTTATAAAGGAAACATTGATTTTTATAACAGATTTTTTTTTAGGTATCTGATATTTCTTACAATATTGAATAAGAAAATGAAGAGAATAAGATATATATTTAATTGTCTTAGCCAGACTAGGGCCTAGATTAAATCCTTTCACTGAAGTTAGAATATTTTCATTTTATACTTATTAGCAGGTTATAATCATGCCTTTTCTCTGTTTCAGTGTATACATATCTTCCATTGAGTGGCAGTACATGCAGTAGTTCATCATGATGTAGTGGGCTGGTTGTGACGCATCGGAAAAATGACCGAAATAATATTCAGCAATTATAAAGCTTATATTTAGTGTGATATTCATGACATTCCATGCATAATTATTTGATGTCATTCATTAACTCATTTCATAAGAAAGACACTGTCCTGATCTTTTTAGATGAAATTGTGTGAATTTTAGAAAAAAAAAGAAAATCATTATCTTTTCTCCAGTTTTCTTCTGGACAAAGCCTTATATCAAATAATTTAATAAACAAGTATATTTTTCTTTCTAAAAGCATGAAAATGCATTTTCTTTTTACATGTATGTGATACAATGTACTTTATAAGAGCTATTTTTTGTGTGCATTCAATTTCCAGCTTTTTTCCCTTCAAAAGTTCATAAACTCAGTCAAAGGTGCTTGGTGATATCAATTTTTGATAGTCAGAATTGTTTAAATTTTCCTTTCATTACATTTATTATATTTTTTACTTTACATTTTTTTTGTCAATATGTATGAAAGAAATAGCTGCACTACTGTAGTTCACTGCTTGAGAAAATTTGGACAGATATAGGAGAGAGCTACAGATCCATATGTACGATTTACGCTGCTGATTTTTTTTCGCTCACTGCAGGTATTATTTCATGTAGTTTATGCTGTCCTTCATTATAAAAATGGTTTCCAATTATTGATCACATATTTTACACTACTTATTGATAATTTATTTACAGTTGTACCTTTCAATGGTACGAAACAGTCCTTAATGGTTTTGGAAGATCGGTTTAAAAAATTCCCAATTCTACGTTCACATCAACAAACATCCCTTCTTGAACCGTTGAAAAGTAAATAAACATTTAGGAAAAGAAGGGAAATAAACATTTAGGAATAAGAGTTAAATGTGTGGTTAATTATCGGATATCATTTACAAAGCTGGGGAAAACATAAAATATAAGAAATAATACCTGAAGTGAGTGATAAATAAGCAGTGGTGTAAATCGAAGGTTTTTACAAAAGGTGGATCTGTAGCTTTCTGCTCTATCAGTCTGAATTTTCTCAAGCAGAGAACTACAGTTCCGCAGCTAAAGAAAGTGCTATAGTTTCTCTGTTTTCTTGCTGGTTTAGAATTCTTGTACATGTAGGTAGTAGTTTTGTTTGTTAATGATTTGGATCTACTTTTGGATCCTAGTTTACACCATGCTATTTGTTTTTTTCTTTGATAGATAGAAATACTGACTTAATAAACATTATTCTATTTTGTTTCTGATTTCCTAAAATGCAAAATGGACGAGTTGATAAGACTTTGGTCCATGGTATGAGCTCCTTAGTGGGAAGGCATTTGGTCTCTCTCTCATCAACAACATGAATATATAGAAACTTAGAATGCAAGAAATATTTAAATACATTATTACTCTTGCTAAACATTCGATGCACCTTTCAATTCAATTGATCACTTCATCAATGCAATTTTAAACTTTTAGGGCTAATTACATTTTGCACTATTGTGTTTTGTGACGAGGTCAATGTAATAACCCAAAGTGCAATTACTTTTGGGGATTATTACATTTCGCGTTCAATTGCACTTTGTTATGAGGTCAATGTAATAATGCAAAATGTATAAAAACTATCCTTATTTTGAATTATTACTTCTTGAATTACACTTGCGGATGTTTTAAGAATCTGGCAATAATTTGTGGCATTAGAAAATATATACCTATGGCACGCCAAATTCACAAAAATGAGCTAAACATAGTTTCACAGTTGATAAACTAGGTTTATTGACTGTAAACTATAGTTTACAAACCGTAAACTATAGTTAACGATTCGTTAAGTATAGTTTTCATCTGTAAAACTATATTTAACGGTTGTTAACTATAGTTTACGAATGATAATCTAAGTTTATCTGTCTGTAATGAAACGTTAACAATAGATTTTGTTGATAAACATAGATTCACGTCTGTAAACTATAATTTACGATCGTTAACTATAGTTAAGAGTTGTTAATCATAGTTTCGCAAATCATGAAACTATATTTATCAGATCGTTAACTATAGTTAACGGTATGTAAACTATAGTTTACAAATCGTGAAACTGTATTTATCAGAAAATCTATGTTTTGCAATCGCAAATGATTGTTTTCGGTGTTAAGTATAGTTTACAGTTGTGAAACATAAGATTATCGCGTTAACTATGGTTTACAGATGTAAAATATGATTAACGTTGTTAACTATAGTTTACAGTCCGTAAACTATAGAATACAACCGATAAACCTAGTTTATCGATTGTGAAACTATGATTATCTCATTTTTGTGAATTTGGCATGCCATATATACCATATTATTCACATTTCATGTTCAATTATCATTATGTGTCGAAATACACAGATTCCATATGCATAAATGAAAATATTTACTTTTGTTACTAGAGCTAAAAACTTATCCCTCTAAATCGGGGAGGAACCATTTCCCAAGGCGCACCAAGTTGAAGAATTTACAATAAAATTTAAACTTTTAAAATATGGATTAAATTAAATTCCATTCGAATATATAATACCTTTTTGAAATTTAGAACAATGATTCAAAGCAAGAAAATTTTCAAGAGTTCAAAAATATGGTTACACCAGTATCAATTTGTTTTGGCAGCTAACAAAGAATAACATTTTCTTTCAATAAACCTTGCTTCGAACGGAATCAATGTAAAATATAACCGACCAAATATTGGGGGATTCTGTGGAAAAGGTAGACAAAATTAAATAAAGAAAAATTAATTTTGTTTCCACAATATTCCTACTTTCTATGAAAAATGCAATTTGTGGAGATAAAAAGCGATCATCAATTAATTCCTGCGACTTTAACTTCGATGCAAAATGCATGCTATAGCATGTAATATAATATATTCCAGAAGTGTATTTTAGAATTTACATTTTGCGTTATAATTATAAGTGCAAAATAATTGAATTGTACATATCTTTAATTGATTTAAAGATAATTGCAATTCATTCGAAGATAGGTACAATTATTTGAAAATGGGTAACATTAATTTGGCGTTCCATATAAATTAAAAATGTTGACCCATCAAATCACTTGATGAAATTCTCAAATAAATGGAATTAAACGACATAAATAATGAATCCCTAAATAAAATTCAAAGCAATCGAAGTTTTCCTTAGAGCTTAATATGCTAAAGATATGCGACTTTGAATCGTTTTCATTGTAATTCTGTACAAAAATTTTCACTCAACCGGTACCTTTACATGGTGACAAAATCTTTAAATATTCTCTCACTTTATCTGGAAAATAGCATTTAGGTAACCTGATTGACTACTAATTGAGAAAAAACTTAAGTAAGACTTAGTAATATTTCTGAAAAAAAAGTTAATTATCCTTAAAGTTACATTCATTGCTTGATTTTTTAAAAGTATGCGTTTAATTTATTTTTAGAGTTGGACCAAACGGTACTGCAATTAAGTCTAAGATAATAACTATCACTCCCCCTTAATTCTGTTTTTAATTTTATTTGATTCAAAAGGCAGAGGCTTTGCTTCAAGATTGATCAGATAAAAGAGGAAGATACAAGTATAACGAACTTTCCATTCAAAATATCGAAAAATATTATGGCCCCTTATTATCATGCTTATATGTTGTATTCATATTTATTTATAATATAGAATTTTTGTGTTATTTTTCCATTTTTTATGAAAATTGAGTACAAATCCAATATCTATTGATTTTCAATGTGTTATTTTAACCAGCCAATCAATATTTGATATAGTCTATTTAAAGTTTAACCAACCAAGCATTAAAATGTTGTTAAGACCTAAAACTGAAAGTAGAATTTAAATAATATAGAGCATTTATAAATGGGTATACTTGTTTGTAAATGTTTTGTGAATCAACTTTGTCAGAAAATTTCATTTTCGTAAGCACCATGAAGGATGTTTTGCATGCATGACATACACCAGTGGCAGATGATTTTGGATTTTTATGATTAAATTGTTTGTTAAAGTGGGTCACATATAAATTGACTGTTCTCTGTTCTAAAAGGAATCTTTCTTTCAATATGAAGGATTTTCTGATTGCAGTCGGCGTTGCCTTTGTTGCAGGCTTTTTCTATCTACAGGAAAGGAGAATTAACGATTTATATTTAGAGTTTCGACATGAAGTGAATTCCATGAAACTTGCTCACAAAGAAGAAATTCTTCAGTTACATTTGAAGATATTTGATTATTCAGAAAAAGGAAAAGCCCAACTCATGTTTTCAAATATGGAAAAGAACTTAGACCAAAGAATGAAAGCAGCAGAGGAAGCTCTTACTAACAATACCAAGAAGGTTTTGGATCAGATAGGTATAATTAAAACACATTTAACAGCTGTGACTCCAACAAATATATCTAAATACATCTTATTCCTCCTCAAAAGAGACTACATGATCTGGGGACATTTTTGTCATGCAAATTATTTTAAATGTAGAATTCAAATAGACATGGTAGATACGTTGTATATCCTTATATCGGTATACTAGTATACAAGGCCTTTTAACAAACATGCTATATAGCTGCCGTCACTCTGATTAAATTTACAATGCTAGATTGATTTGAATTGATTTTTCAAAGCACATTTTACTTGAAAATGTTTGGCACAATTCTATCTCAAGATCCCATCAAAATATAAATATATATAACCAGTTAGATTTTGGTCATAAGTCGTAAAAGTAATTCCTGGACTAAATCCGTTGTTTTGCGTAAACGGGGAAGAAGGAATCATGGGAATGTTGGTGGGTATAACGAAGTAGTGGCGCTGTGGGCCGTAATAAAACGTAAAGGGTAAAGATGCCGTATTCCTTATGGTCTTCCAATATAAAGTCCAAGAATTGGTGAATCAGGTTTTCAAATTTATTAAAGACGATGGTGAATAACAAACATGAATTTTAACAATATCTTACGAGACTTAATCGAGTTGGATGTGGCCGGTAGAGCGTCGGGCCTCCAAAACTGACGAGATTAATAATGGACATAGATATTTGTAAGATTAAGATTAAACAATAATTGACTTTTGACACTAGTTGAGTTAAATGATGGACAGGTGTGTTTCTTTGATAAAATGGACATGAAAGAGGTTATAAAGAAATTGTACAAATAAAGTTACTGGTAAAGGATTAACAAATCCCGAGGCATTAACACCTAACGAGCAACAATTATTTTGACAGATTCACAGAGTGTCAATAGGAATGCCTTAATCCTATTTCAAAGGGAATGAGATAAATAAGACACAATTTACTACAAATAAGCACATATTAAAAACAGATCAAGAATTTCACAGATAAACGTCCGAATTTAGTATAAAATATATTAAAAAGTTATTTTAATTCAAAAATGTTAATTTTTCTCGGTGATAATATCCTTCGGCCTCCGGGAAAACACGTCCTCGTGTTTTATAAAGTAACATCCCTATTGAAATGGTTGGTACTGTTGACCTTGGTACTGTCCGTTGAAGTTGTTGTACGCGGGGTAAGGGTTGGGTCCGTTTTGTTTCATGCACTCAATAGTATACTGTAATTTAGCTTTCTATTTCCTCGTATTGGGCTTCGACTTGATCGCGGAGATTCTCGATCTTTTGAGTTTGAGAGTCGATTGTAAAACGAAAGGAACTGATCTCTTGAACTTGAGTATCAATTCTAAATCGAAGGCATCCGATTTCTGCATCTCGTTCTTCTATCTCATCCCGTAGACTGAACAAGTCCTGATGTGCCAAGTAAAGATGAGTTGTTAACTTCTCGATTTCTCCGGTTTTCTTTTGGTTTTGTGCCGAAACTTAAACACGATCTGAGGTCATTTTATTGATTTGATTGGCATTGTTCAATTTAATCCGTAGGTCTATTATTTCCTGTTGCAATCCCGGTCTAGCATTTTGGAGGTTCTGAAGGTTTGTCTCTAGTTGTGAGACTTTCAGGATGCTTTCTGTTTGAATGGAGGCGAGCTGTTCCTTAGTTGACTCAAAATTTTGCTCGGTGTTATGAAGTTTTTGAAGCAGTTCTTTGATCCGGATATTTGAGTTTTTGAGCTGTTCTTTTGTTTTTGAAATTTCATAGCGAAGGAATGAAGTTACGTCCACACATTTGTGAAAAGCAGCTTGTTTAAGATTGTGAAATGGCAGCTCTCTAAGATATTGTTTTCGGTTTGAGAAAAGTTGAGCTCTGTGTGCATCGTGCAATTTTGTAGATTTTGATTTTTTAGTAGGAGCTTGGCACTTTTTGGCGTAATGTCCATACTTTCCACAGTTGAAACACACTGCTGTGGAAGAATTTTGATAGGTATAACTGTATCGTTGCCGATTTAAATTTGTTGACATCCATGTTGGTCGAAGGTAAAAGTCCATCGTGTCGTTTGATGTTTGGGGAAATTACACTAATGGGTAGAACACGTCGCTGGCGTAGTGAAAGGTACAACACAAAGGGGAACGTCCCGATTCTATCACCAATTATAACCAGTTAGATTTTGGTCATAAGTCGTAAAAGTAATTCCTGGACTAAATCCGTTGTTTTGCGTAAACGGGGAAGAAGGAATGTTGGTGGGTATAACGAAGTAGTGGCGCTGTGGGTCGTAATAAAACGTAAAGGGTAAAGATGCCGTATTCCTTATGGTCTTCCAATATAAAGTCCAAGAATTGGTGAATCAGGTTTCCAAATTTATTGAAGACGATGGTGAATAACAAACATGAATTTTAACAATATCTTACGAGACTTAATCGAGTTGGATGTGGCCGGTAGAGCGTCGGGCCTCCAAAACTGACGAGATTAATAATGGACATAGATATTTGTAAGATTAAGATTAAACAATAATTGACTTTTGACACTAGTTGAGTTAAATGATGGACAGGTGTGTTTCTTTGATAAAATGGACATGAAAGAGGTTATAAAGAAATTGTACAAATAAAGTTACTGGTAAAGGATTAACAAATCCCGAGGCATTAACACCTAACGAGCAACAATTATTTTGACAGAGTCACAGAGTGTCAATAGGAATGTCTTAATCCTATTTCAAAGGGAATGAGATAAATAAGACACAATTTACTACAAACAAGCACATATTAAAACAGATCAAGAATTTCACAGATAAACGTCCGAATTTAGTATAAAATATATTAAAAAGTTATTTTAATTCAAAAATGTTAATTTTTCTCGGTGATATATATTTGAAAGAAAAAATCATTTAATGACAAGGGAAAACAAACAAAACCCATACTGACGTTCAAATTCCACTGACGTTGCGCACGGTGTTGGTGTCAGTTTCGGTAACGTCAAAATGACGTTATTTTACGTGAAGTTCTAGAAAATTAATTTTATGTTGCTTTTTTCGCTAACATTTTTACTAAGAAAAAATAAAAACCCAGTAATACCGCCAATCACATGTACATAGTGCAATTCATTGAAAACACATGTAATTAAACTCTCATAAGTAGTTCAATGTAGATATAAAATACATCAAATAAATTATTCTGTTATGTTATTTTTCTCAATATTTGTTGGATGGGTCTTGATTAAAGGTAAAATAGTTTTCATGATTTTATAAACTCGGCTTTATTTAATATTTATTTGTTAATCTTGATTAATCCCGGGATTAAATTGAAATTCTCTTCTGGTCGGGTATCATCATGGTCTGTCTGACAAAGTATCAACTGTATTTTAATTATGTTTCTCCTCATATAGTCTATATAAAAATGATTAAAATATGTCTGTTTCAATCAGAAAATAGCTTTTAGTTTCAGAAAAATCCAAAAGGGAAATGTATATTATACCTGGCCGTACTTCGATGCAGATATTTTAGGTCTAAACTCTCACTGCCCTTTTGCATGCATGTTGCGTGTGGAAAATATAAGCATGAGTTTTCTCATATTAAAAAAAGAACTGTGTAGAAATAAAATAACTTGTTCGGCATCGCATTTTAAATTGATGTGCTTTCAATTCAACTGAGATAAATTCGAAACCATTCTATGTCATATATCAGTAGGCCCTCGAACCTGTCCTTTGTTTTCAGTTAGTTGTACGATTGTAACTATGTTGCTGATTAAGCATTGAATTAATTTTTCGTTCAAAGTACCTATTCCCATTCCATCAGCCATCACATAGACCCTTACATACTGAGTACTTTTCTCTTACAGTAGTATAGATCTTAATATTTCAAATAATTCAATTTAAAAAAGAAGAGGAATCGAACTTGAGAATCGACCCCTCCCTCTCCCTCACTTTTAGTTCTCCATGAAAAGAATTTTTAATGAAGTGGAGTTTAATTAGAGGCGTCAGTTGCATTTATTCGAAATATATTTCAGTTTTCTCCTCTCCACCCCCACCCCCCTTAATACGTACCTAGCTCACTGATCAATGATCGAAGGCTTCCTACTTCTTTGGATACCCGTGCACTTTACCTGTTTTATGGCATTGTGTGCCCTTTCCATGCTTATAAATGGAAAGAAAGAGTGTTTCAAAGAGCGTTTCGCATATGCTTTCAACAAGATTTATTTTTAAATAATTAATTTAGGTTGATGTTGAGGATTTTTTGGTGACGGCGGGGTCAGATTTTAATAAGATTGAGGCGATTGTATAGAGGCGTTATCCTATCCCTAAACAAGATTTTGTTCAAATAAATGGTTACTTGGTTCTATTTTGGTCGGTTTAAATGAGTTTAAAGGCTTTTTTATAATAATAAGAAAAAAAATGAAACATAACTAAAAAACAATTATGAAAAATGAAAGACCCATTGCTTATAACCAAGTATATAAATGAAAAACAGATATTTTTAATTGAAAGAAATAAGGTAATATAGCCAATCTCGCCTTACCCTGTTTCCAAATGTCGGCAATTCATATGTAAATTTATGTACCTATTTTTTGTTTCAAACAAAATAAAATATTTTTTTTTCATTTCATACGATGCTACCGAGTAAATGTCAAAAAGAACTATAATTGTAGTGAAAATCTGATACTTGATCTAAATCACTACCTTCGACAACCCCTAACCCTTATTCTATATTGGACTATTCAATGTACACTCGCCATGTAGAACAGTTTATAACAGCATCAAATAGAGTTGACACACTTTAATGTCAGGTTATTCAAATTGGAAATCATATCCTTACATAAATTTTGGTTTGTGTGATTTTTTTCTAGTGTCTTAATTCGGACTCTGAATGGTACAAGGATATATAGTTACAGTATATATATACTGTATACTACATGTATGTTGACTTTTATACTTTTTTTAGGATTTTGTCACAATTCCATTGAAAATTATTTTGGAATATACTAATAACTTTTTGAAAAGATGCACATTTCATAAAAATCTTCTAATTTT